GATCTATCAAGTGCATTCAAATAATAATTCAAATTTTCATTGAAAGAGGACAACTTTTATTTTTAGAAGCAATAAGTGGGGGAGAGGCATTTAAAAAAGGGCATCCAATTTTTCAAAGCACCAGTTTTAAGTGGGGTCATTCAAAATATATTGATTTAAAAAGGAAAATTTACAAAATTTAGGTTTTTTCACAGAAATCTATAACCAGGATATATTTTACATTTCCAGGATAATTTTTTTTAAATTCCACACACAATTCTGGTTTATGTTTCCCTGCTTAAAGTAAGATGGGATCCCGGTTTCAGACAGTTATCCCAATGGGATCCCAGTTTCGTATATTTATCTTGCTTCAACTGGGATTGGATCCCAGCTTGAGACAGATATCCCAATGGGATCCCAGTTTCAGACATATATCCCGAATGGGATCCCAGTTTCAGATATTTATCCCGAATGGAATCCCGACTTCTGAGGCCCATCCCGGCTTATCCCGCTAATTTTACCGGGATTTGACTGGGATCCCGATAGATCCCGTTTTCATTTTCTCTTGGGTATGATTTATGTTGGGAATTATAAAAAAAACATATATGTACAAAATAACTTCAGTAATAAGAGCTTCTAGAATTATATATTTGTCTGCAGGAGACACCAAGGGTAACAGTGTATATGAACACAAGGTACTTTTTTATGCATGGTTTCTTTCACTTTCCAACAACAATTCAGTTTCAACTCAACATTGTCAATTATATTTCCATTCAAGTGGGAAAATATACTACCATAATTTTCTATTTTAACATTCCTTTTATGTTTAATTGATTTCAAAATGAAAGGATATGGATTATTACAAAGAGCGGGTAATTATTACGCACTCCATCTATGAGTTGATCCGGGGAGAAAAGGCATGCAGCAAAATCATTAAAATCTATTTACCAGTATCAGACTTTTAACACTGGTCGTTTCTTTTGTATGATGAAAGAATATCGTATTCCAACAAATCGTTTGTGAAGTGAAAAATTGTGAGTTGTTAAATAAAACTGGACCACCAAAGAAAACCTCGTCTGTAATATTAAGGGGTTGATCTAGTCTAGAGGAAGATTTAAATCATAAACCTTTTGAATAAAAAAGTTTATTAATTTTACAATATTTAAGATATAGCTTGTGAACCAAATGTTTTGAAGGTTGATGATTTTCCTTTTACAAGTCATTAATTTAAGAAACTAGTTTGGTTATACAACATGTACAATGTATATAGTATTACTGTTGAAATTGAATTATGATGATAATAATAAAATGCTTGATTGAATTAAAGAAATCTCTAGGGATTCAGTTATTTTTCTACATTTGTGTAGTTTGAAGTTCACAGACATGACAGACTCTCAATTAAAAACTTACAGACCCTGACTCACAGTCTCTCATCATCTCAATTAAAAACTCACAGACCCTGACTCACAGTCTCTCATCATCTCAATTAAAAACTCACAGACCCTGACTCACAGTCTCTCATCATCTCAATTAAAAACTCACAGACCCTGACTCACAGTCTCTCATCATCTCAATTAAAAACTCACAGACCCTGACTCACAGTCTCTCATCATCTCAATTAAAAACTCACAGACCCTGACTCACAGTCTCTCATCATCTCAATTAAAAACTTACAGACCCTGACTCACGGTCTCTCATCATCTCAATTAAAAACTTACAGACCCTGACTCACGGTCTCTCATCATCTCAATTAAAAACTTACAGACCCTGACTCGCAGTCTCTCATCATCTCAATTAAAAACTTACAGACCCTGACTCACGGTCTCTCATCATCTCAATTAAAAACTTACAGACCCTGACTCACGGTCTCTCATCATCTCAATTAAAAACTTACAGACCCTGACTCGCAGTCTCTCATCATCTCAATTAAAAACTTACAGACCCTGACTCACGGTCTCTCATCATCTCAATTAAAAACTTACAGACCCTGACTCACGGTCTCTCTCATCTCAATTAAAAACTTACAGACCCTGACTCACGGTCTCTCATCATCTCAATTAAAAACTTACAGACCCTGACTCACGGTCTCTCATCATCTCAATTAAAAACTTACAGACCCTGACTCACGGTCTCTCATCAAACTTTAAGATCTGACTGATAAGTATATTATTTCATTTATTATTATTGAAGCAAATTTAATATTTAATGAGACTAGAACGAACACTTCCAGCTGTTCCAATGCAAAATATTGTTACAAAATGGAAGAAGATGTCTAACTCTTCAGAATTTTTCACTATCTTGCACTGTTGTGGCCCCTTAATCTATGACTTGTTAAAAAGAATTAAAATTTAGTGTAAACGAAATTACATTGGAACTTTTGAAAGAAATTCGTAGTTGGTTTGACAGCAATCATCCTACAATCAAACTACATGCTATCATCTTTCAAAGAAACCGCAATCAAATAAGATCTTGGTTTGCATGGACTGATGCTTGTGCAACCAATTTCTGTGTGGTTCCAGTGTACTGTCAAATTGCAAGAAGGCACTGAGCATGAAACATGATTGCAGCATGCGGTTTTAGTTTGGGTAGAAAGCAAGACTTTTTTCAGTTGCAAAACATATTTTGAATGTTAGGAAAATCAGTATTTGTTTGTTTAGGAAGAATCGTTGAAGCGTGACATTCGACTACAAAGTTAATTGAACTAATAATACTTGATTTTATCTTAAAAGACTTCACTTAAATCTTTTACAATTTTCTTTTGACATTTTATATTATCTTACAAATACCTACTTTTAAATATCTTTTAGCATGATTTCCTTGGATAGGCTAATTGACTTTTTACTAATTTGAGAAACATTTTGTCTTGTTTCTATTTGAGGTCGTTGGTGATTCACGAGGTCGATATTTTCGTAAGTGATTTTTTTGTTGTAATTTAATTCATGTTCAGGTTATTTAAGGTGTCTGTTGATTTAAAACCCATATGTCTGTCTGTTTTGTTTTGCAACAAGTCAGTCAATATACAGAAACCTACTGACCTGCTTTGACAGGGATTAAAAAAAAAAAACTCATAATAAACTTCTGGGGATATTTTTTTCTTCTTGGAAACCAAGTATGTATCTTGAATTGAGGAAAAATGGATATTTGATTTTTTGGTTTTTATCTATTTTTGCATTGAAGCCGATTCGATTTCCTGAAATATGTTTCGTATGTTTTTGACCTCAGATCATAAACCTGTACTAACGAAAGGACACACGCCAAAGATAAACACGCCTACAGCCTAAAACAGGGGTTTAAATGAGTGGTGGTCAGAGGTCCGTGACCTTCCATTTTTGGGTTCCGACCTTCCCACTGGTAGTTAGGACAAAAATCTTAAAACTTGTCCCAATAAAAGATCATGATGAAAAATTACCTCCTAGCATCTATATATCTTGCCAAAAAAAGTGGTTAAAAGAAACTGACCCCAAGTTTGAAAACGAGGTGGAGCTGTTCTGACACAAAGTTAGGCCAGTGTTTTCTTAAGCAGCAATTGAAACCAAAATAATTAAAAAGGTACACAGTGTTATTAAACATAGCGTATAGTGGTGGGGGGAAAAGGGGGACCCTTTTTCTGACTGAATGAAAAAAAAAAAGAGGTTAATATAGTATTAAGATATGATTAGTGCTTTGGAATGGTAAGCATTTTCTGATTTTATGAATTGAATTTTCAATAAAAATTGGACCTTCTAGAATAAAGGAGGACCTTTTAATGATATTTTTGGTCTAATAATGGTCCTGGACCTTCCATTGCCTAAAGTTAATTTGAGCCCCTGCTAAATATTTTGCAGAACAGATTATGATCAAACTCTTGGAAAGTTTAAAGAGTTTTAAGTCAAAATGTACACACATTTGTAAATTTAAAACATCTTTGTGATTTTTTTATGCCCCCACCCCCCGTCGCGGAGGGGGCTTTAAGTTTTACCCTTGTCCGTCTGTACGTCCATACGTACGTCCCAAAATTGGTTTCCTTTCTCTAACTTTAGTTTGCCTCTACCAAATGTTATGAAACTTATACACATGCTTATTACCACAAAACACAGATCAAGTTTGAATTTTGGTGGCATCAGTTTAACCGTTCTAGATTTATGCCCCTTTACAAATGGAAAAATTGCTGAATTTTTCGTTTCTGTTCTTTAACTTTAGTTTGCCTCAACCAAATATTATGAAACTTATACACAACGCTTATTACCACAAAACACTTATCAAGTTTGAATTTTGGTGGCATCACTTTTGCCATTCTAGAGTTATGCCACTCTACAAATGGAAAAATTGCTGAATTTAGTTTCCGTTCTCTTACTTTAGTTTGCCTCAACCAAATGTTACAAAAGTACAAATTTGGGTAGCGTCACTTTTACAGTTCTTGAGTTATATCCCTTTATAACATTATATGCAAGCGGGGGTATCATCTGTGTCCCATGGACACATTCCCCATTTATTATATTTTTATATGCAAATGAGATTTTTTGAAACCTGCAGTTAAGCTAGCTGTTCCTTGAGAGCTTTTGTAAAAGTCAGGTGCACACTTCAGGTTGGTATTTATTTGACTAACAATACAAAAGTGAAATTGATTTTTTTCCATTTCTTATACTTTGCATATTCATTGATATTAGTCCTTGGTATAATTGGGTCTAGTTGAAAGTATTACCATTACATATATATATATATATATAATAAAAATGCTTTAAAGAAAAGTTTTGTCCATATAAACATTAACGTATTTGCTTGACAAATCAGAAAGATAAAAGATAGGAATACTGAATAGCTTAATTTTCACACAAAGTTGGTTCGACGGCCATTCATATACATGATTTTAGATGTATTTATCGCAAATATTGTGGGATTTGAATTTTTTTCCTTTAAATGCATCTGAAGTGATTTTATTTGAATAGGCCTCATGAAGGGATATTGTATTTACCTGGCGGTGTCACTATCTGTACTGAATACGTAATGAGCTTACCGTTTTATCGTAGGAAAATATCAACGGTGAAGAGCCGTGTTGTGCGATTTACATTTTATATTGATTTAAAGCTAGAAATAATCAGTAAATTCTTGATGTGGTTACAATTTTATAAGTTGAATATGTGTCATTTGGTAAAATAAATTGATAAGTGGTTTTGTTCAAAAAGGTAGTTGTGGTAAAAACTCTTCTACAGGATAGTTTCAGGACTAACTCGCATATTTAAACAAAACATGGAGTTTAACCTTTTTATAGTGCATGTTCTTAACGTGTAATATCTGGAAAAATAATCCTTTTTGGCATACAATTTTTGAAGAAAGGAATCTGAGTAAAGAAAATAAGTCTGTTTGGTTTTGTAGATTTTAAAAGAGTGGTGTGTCTATTTTCAAGGAGGAAACATAATGGAATAAAATAGATATTATTGGTTTTATTAAAAGTGAAAGGAAATATTCTTAGAAATGAAATTTAGAGGATCATATTTTATTTATGACAAAGTGAATATAGATGGATTGTAAATTAGTTGTTATTTTATATATAATGGAGTTAAAAGTTTATCCTTGTTCAATGATTGACATATTCTGAACATGAAAAAGAACTAACTTGTGGGTATGTATTTTAGATATCAAACATAGTTGTTAACTCTTCAAATGTTTTTTAAAACAATTGAAAACCTCCCTCTGAAGACCTGAGTCTCCTGACACAAAGATCAATCAGCTACTAAATTCGAGTAAAAATCTCACTTCAATAATAATTGTTTGTGATATTAAAATTGACAAAATTTCTGTCTATACATGGTGTGTTTACACTAAATAAAGAACTCAAGCTACCTATATATATAACATGTGTTTTTGAATTAGCTTATTAATTGACACCTACAAAATAGGGACAATATGTTGATTGACATTTGGAAAGGCCATGGATGCTGCAACATGTATTGATCTGCCAATTTTGTTCCTAACGAGACCTTTGTGCAAGGATTTTCTTCAGATATCTGTTTCTATTAAAGCAGGAACATGTGAACGGAAGTAAAAAGGTGCTTAAGTACTTTCAATATAAGTCATTCTTCAGGTCATTGCATATGACTTGTAGTCTGTTTGAAAAGAACCATGACCTAAATGGTCTCGGTAGCAGCTTGTCTCTAATATCAGAGGTCATGCATTCAATGACCTGGGCTTGCGTTCAATCCCGGGCATGCTTTACACAGTGATGTGTTTTTACATCCATCACTTATCAACTTCCTGCTTGATCCTCGGTGGCTGAGTGGTCTAAGTTAAGTCCAACTACTGTATCATTAACACTGAGGTTGTGAGTTCGAATCCTGCATGTTGCAGGTGCACTTTACTCCAATCTTAATTGACTAGGATTGTCAGTTTTCCTACCTAAGGTTGTTGTTCTCTCCACCAATAAAAACTGACTGCCACAGAATAGAACATTAGTGCTGAAAGTGGCATTAAATACCAACAAATCAATCCTTAGCCGGATCAAAACCGCAGAGACTTGGAAATTGGTATTTGTTTCATCCTCAGTCAGCCCAATTTTGCATTGATTAGTAAGAACAAACTCTCAAAGGCTTAAGCCATAATGGCTTACTCCACCAATAATATGCGGGATTTGAACTCACAACCTCAGCTTGGAGTCAGAATAATGGGTGTGGGAAGAGTGACATATCTTCATGTGAACTATATTATTATGACATGTCAAAAGTTCAGTTCAGAGTGATGCTCTAGCACCTTCAAAGTATGTTAATATTGAAATCACATCAACATGTTTTTTGTCCTGATTTGCATGTAATATTTGCCACTGGACAGTGATCACCAGTCAATCCATTTGGTTTTATTGCACCTCTTCATCTTATCTTAAGAGACTTGCTTGAAGATCATCACAAAGAATTCTACAAACAACACAGTACAAGATAAAATCTACCCTTAATTAGTGTAAATCTAATTAGGTTGTATCAGCTATATTTTGTACTCTTGGAACATATAAGTAATTTCTTATATACCTGTATACAGAGGAAAGGAATTGGTCTTTCTAGACAGGAACCTTTGTACTTTGATTCATGATAACTATATACATAGAATTAAAGGAATGGTCTACTGCAATATGTTTTTATTGTCTGTAAACATAAGAAGTCCAGTGTAGTCATTCTGGAACCTTTGTGCTTTGATTCCTGGGTACCAGTATACATTTTGTACATTGAGTTAAAGCAGAAAAGGTGGTCTCTGTAATGCATTGTGACAGGTCTACTGCAATACATTTATATTGCCTATAAACACTGAGGTACAAAGAAGGATGGTCTTTTGAAACATGACCTATTATAATTTATTCCTTAAGTTACCATCACATTCATGTACATATATATATATATTTATGTGGGAGTAAACTTTGGTACAATCATTTCTGAGGAATTTAATAAGAGAGTGGCTAAATGTGCTTCAAGGTAATTGTGATGGAAGTTCACTATTCCATAGGTTATCATGAACACAATCATAAATCCTTGCATTTTTGTGTCTAAAAAAAACTGGATATCAGGCTCGTAATTTTGTATGCCAGATGTGTTTTACCTTGCCAAAAGACTCATGTCAGCGACGCTCTAATGAAAAAATTAAAAGGCCAAATTTAGGACAAATATGAAGAGCATTGATCATAAGGACCCAAATTTCTGAAAGGTTTTTCAAAATACAGCTAAGGAAATACATTTTAAGAGACAGTACATTACAAAAGGAGCTTCATATTTATCGTTGGGTAGATGTTTATATTGAAAACAAACAGTAACTGGTACATTTATTTGTATTTAATCATGGCTTAGAACTGTAACAACTGACTTGTGAGATTTATGTTAAAATGTCACTTAATTTCCTGGCGATATTTGTTGATTAAATGTTGTCAATTGTAAATAGAAAATACTCAGAGAGACTGGGAATAACATTGAAAGTAATCCTATCCCATTGAGAAAACTTGTAACGTGATAACGGATCCTACCCAGGATTGACTACGTGTAAATGAATAGACTGCCCTGAGTGGTACTTATAGCATTGACAAAACACATTAAGGTTTAAAACCTGTAAAGTTGACAGCAGTATTATAATGGTACAGAAACTTTCATTGAGGACATTGCTTATTTAGAAAAGGGGGAGGTGTTACTTCAGGTTCAAAATTGTCAACTTTAATGGTTTATTAAGTCCATAATGAGACAGTTGTATACAAGCCACAAAGTTATGTTGTACTAGAAACACAGTTGTCATATTATCAAATATACGAGGGGATGGTGCAAGTTGGAGAGTATTTGCCCAGTAAATCTCCCCATCAAGCTTTGGAAAAAAATATTTAAAACATGAAATGAAAATGAAAGATGACACACACTGACTTACTTCTGGACTACTAGACTATATGTGTGTGTATTTTTTGTTTTTTGCTTGTCACTTTCAAAAGTTTTGCCCCCTTTTCAGTTCAAGGCTGTGAACATGATTGAAAAAATTTTAAGCATCTGTTCTAACACTGAAATCATGAACAAAACTGACACAAACCTGATTTGATACAGACTATCTCTAATTTATCTGTTTGACTGTAACCATGACAAAAAATTGCTTGACAACCAAAGAATAAGTGATATTAAACTTGAGTATTTTTCACACAGATGTGTTTGAAAATTTTGGAGTGAAGCAAACTTTTATTGGATATAAATATCTTTTAAAAGGTGATTCAGTCGATTTTTAGTTCCTTTTTCGTAATTTTTGTTGAGCCTGCGACTTTTGTTGCAGAAAGCTTGACACAGGGATAGTGATCCGTTGGCAGCGGCGGAGGTGTTAGCTAACTTCTTAAAAGCTTTATATTTTAGAAGCTAGAATACCTGGATGCTTCATACTTTGTTTATAGATGCCTTATGTTACAAAGTTTCCGTTTGTCATATGTCCATAATTAATTGTCCTTGATCTCATTTTCATGGTTCAGTGACTATATACTTGAAAAAAAAGTCAAAATTTTTTGTAATGTTAATTTCTTTCTTATTATGAGTAATAGGATAACTATCTTTAGTATGTACGTACCTTGCAAGGTTCTCATGCCCATCAGACAATTTTCATTTGACCTCGACCTCATTTCCTGGATCAGGGAACAAGGTTAAGTTTTTGTGACCAAGTCCATATATCAGATACTATAAGCAGTAGGTCTACTATATTTGGTATATGGAATGATTGTAAGGTGTACATGTCCAACTGGTAGGTGTCATCTGACTTTGACCTCATTTTCATGATTCAGTGGTCAAAAGTTAAGTTTTTGAGTTTTGGACTTTTTTTCTAATACTATATGCAATAGGTCAACTACATTTGGTGTATGGAAATATTTTATGATGTACATGTCAGTCTCGCAGGTTTTATTTGACCTTGACCTCATTTTCATGGTTCATTTCTCGGTGTTAAGTTTTTGTGTTTTGGTCTGTTTTTCTTCAACTATATGCAATAGATCAACTATATTTGTTGTATGGAAGGATTGTAAGGTGTATATGTCTGTCTGGCAGGTATCATCTGACCTTGACCTCATTTTCATGGTTCATTGGTCAATGTTAAGTTTTCTTGGTTAAGACTGTTTCTTAGAAACTATACATTCCCCATTTCCATTCTCAATTTTATAAGCAATAGGTCAACTATGTTTGGTTTATTGAATGATTGTAAGGTGTACATGTATTTCTCGTTTGGTTTATCTGACCTGGACCTCATTTTCTTGGATCATGTTAAGTTTATGTGTTACTTGTAGTAAAGCTTCATATTTAGGACTATCAACATGAAATCAATGGCTAGTAAAGAAGGCGAGACATTTCAGCGTGTGCACTCTTGTTTCTCTAGTGCTTATGAGTGCAAATGCATTAAATTATAAAGTACAGAAAAAAAAATTGTGAAGTAAAAAGAAGTCTTTTAAATACTTTTCACACCTATCAGTTGAAAGAAGACTTATCAAAAAAGCAAAATGTTATTAAAATTCCCTCATAAATCATTAAATGTCTATTGTTAAAAGGCATATCAAAATTATCTATGTTGTTACCCACCCACATAGCCAGGACCAGGTAGGATTTGTTACATGTCGCTTCCACCAATCTGATAAAACTACAGAAAGAATTTTAACCTGTTTTTGTTCATAGATATAATTTGAGTTAATGTTGTAAGGAAGTGTGATGTCTTGATTTTGGTTTAGGTTACAGTCTGGCATATGATATGAACACTGGATTTAGGCACGAAGCGGATATATTTTTCAAGATTTCCATTTTACAATATTAAAAGGTCAAATAAGATGTTATACTTTGCAATATTATCACACTTCATATATACACAATACTATAGATTTTATGTTATAGTCTTTTGCAGATATTTTGGTCTAAATATTGATGAAGAATAAAGGTCAGAGGGGGAGTTTGAGAAGGAGGGGTCTGATCCTGAATTCCCAAGAAAATAAATGCCTAATTCCAGTGAGGTGAGAGTTTTTGTGCTCTGTGTTGAAGGCCTCACTGTGACTTTGAGATGAAGAACAGCAATAAAAGCGCTGTTTCCTTGCTTTTTGAGTGTTTCTTTTGCTGTGCATGAACAAATTTTGTGTCATAAATGGATACCCCATATCCTTTGTTTTTCTATTAATAATAATGTGTCCGTTCCAGTATCACAATATAATTAAATCAAGAATTCCTGAATTCCAGAAGGTTAAACTGGCCATTCCCGAAATTCCCCGAATTAAACTGCACAATCTCAATTCCCTAAAAAGGTCTTTCTGCCCTTTATTACACAATACTGTAAAAGTTTTGTAGAATTCACTGAAATTCTTATATAAAGGTAGTTATCTCTTCTTTTGATATTGTGATATATATGAGACCAGACAATTATTTCATGATGATTTAATAATCTTTTGAATAGAATAAAATTTACTAACAATTTATCACTGCTTAGAGTAGATTGTCACCAACTATTTGTTCCCTTTGTGTAAAAATATATTTTTGCACTTGAATTGAAGAAAAAAAATTTTGACAGAGGGTATGACATCCACTTTTATCTAAACTATGCATACTGTAAAGGGAGGGTCTTGAATGGGTATCATTTGATCAATATTGTAAAGATTATTAACTTTTTGTCACATTTGGGGATAATTTATGTTGTTTATGATTGAAAATTTATAAGTTATTGCTATCACAAATCAAGGCAGGACAAAGTTACTTTTGAAAAGTTATCTCTTTGACGTAGTTTTGTAAATTGTTGTAATTAATGATTTTTTTTTTTTTGGTAACATCTAGTAATATCGAGAAATGCTACCAATTGCAGAGCAGCAAATAAATAAGGTATCTATTTTGTGGGTGTATAATTAAGATAATTCTGGTAAAGTTATTAAAAAAAATATCAGATTTTGGAAATGAATTCATAAAATTAAAGTGACTTGCATAAAGTTAAGCTATAAATATTTGAATTGAGATGTGTAAAATAGATATATTGTACAATTCTCTTTTGTGTTGATTCTAGAAAATGAATCAATTTACAGAATGGATATATGACTTGCACAAAGTTAAATATTTTTTTATATATAGAACATGCAGATACTTATATTTTACTGTAATCAAATCAATAAGTTGTACAATTTGAACCAAGGAACAATGAGGGAATCTATACTCTCACTGACTAAATTGTTTTTATTAAAATTGATTTTTATTATCTTTAAGAACATTTTAAGTTTTTCATAGTCTGAATCAGACCAGTCCTCACTTAAAGCACCTATGTGTGTTTTTCAGAGCTACAAAAACATTTGGATTAGTGAGGGCTGGCTTTTAAGTTGAAGTTTATTTTCTTTTTTGCATAAAAAAAGATTATAATATAGGTTAATTTCTGCATGTGTGAGTGTTTAACGGGTCTATAACATATTTCTGCCTTATTTAATTGTAAGTTACGGTGAACAGCTTGTGTAGACTTCCTTATTGATGGAAATGAGCACAGAACCACCAAACAAATCTTAATTCAAGATAAGTCTCTTGTGACCACCCTATGGAGTGGACAGTCTCTTGTGACCACCCTAAGGAGTGGACAGTCTCAATTGACCACCTTATGAAGTGGACAGTCATGTGACCACTAAATAGAGTAGACAAGTCTCTTGTGACTACCCTTTGGAGTGGAGACTCGTGTGTGACCACCCTATAGAGTGGACAGTCTAATGTAACCACCCTTTGGAGTGGAGAGTCTTGTGTGACCCTCCTATAGAGTGGACAGTCTCATGTGACCACCCTATGGGGTGGACAGTCTTATGTGACAACCCTATGGAGTGGACAGTCTCATGTAACCACACTTTGGAGTGGAGAGTCTTGTGTGACCCCCCTGTAGATTGGACAGTCTCCTGTGAACACCCTATGGGGTGGACAGTCTTATGTGACACCCTATGGAGTGGAAAGTTACATGTGACCACCCTATGGAGTTGATAGCCTCGTGTGACTACCCTATGGGGTGGAAGTCTCATGTGACCACCCTATAGAGTGGACAGTCTCATGTAACCACCCAATGGAGTGGACAGTCTCATTGACTGCCCTATGGAGTTGACAGTCTCATGTGATCATCCAATGGAGTGAACCTTCTCTTGTGACCATTGTATTGAGTGGACAGTCTCATGTGACCACCTTATGGAGTGAACAGTCTTATGTGACCACCCTGTTGAGTGGACGATCTCATGTGACCACCTAATGGTGTGGACAGTCTTATGTGACCACCTTATGGAGTGGACAGTCTCATGTGACTACCTTAGGAGTGGACAGTCTTGTGTGACCACCCTATGTAGTCCTGTTGATTGAACTTGTCATTTTTATAAGAATTGAAATATCATTTCTACACTTAGGCAAAAAAAATTGAGCTTATGTATCAAAGAATTTTGTCAGTATTACTTCAAAATGTGAAAGGTTAAATTTGAGAGGACACAATTAGTTGTTAGATCATGCTCACAGTGGCCAAGTGGACCTGAGCTGTACAGTGGCCAAGTGGACCTGAGCTGTACAGTGGCCAAGTGGACCTGAGCTGGATAGTGGCCAAGTGGACCTGAGCTGTACAGTGGCCAAGTGGACCTGAGCTGTACAGTGGCCAAGTGGACATGAGCTGTACAGTTTTTGTTAAAATATAATGTTATAATTTTGCTCCTCGGTTATTAAAATGATTCTTTGCATGGTCACACTGTAAATAAATCTATGCATTAATTTGATGAATTGTGAGAAATTCCTCACAATAATTCAGGGGAGCTATTTAAATTTTATGTCCCATCGACATTGTCCTGTTGTCATACAGTTACTTCTTGCTGAAAATATCACACAGATTTTACTCCTGTTGAATAAAATTAGCATTTCATAGTATAAATTTAAAATTATTTATGTAGTGATGTATTCTTGTAATTATTGGTGTACAAATGTATTACAACCGTCTATACGAATTATTATCACGACAATGAGGTACGTGCATCTTATATTTCCTCCAGTTATACTTATGTAATGTGATATTATTTGTTAAATATGGGGTATATTTGTTCACATATATCTTATTTGTTAGATATGGGGTACGTTCACATATATCTTATTTGCCTTTTATAGGTAAAACTATTTTCAATTTAAAACTAATTTATGTTACACAGTTTTTTGTATTAATAAAATTCAGAAGCTGCTATATGTTGGCAATCCTGTTTATATTGCATTGTCATGAAACACAGAATTTTGGAATTAAAGAAAGGTCTTGTCACTCAATCGTACAATGATAAAAGTCTACTTTGTGGGTAGTGGAATGCATGATTTTCACCTTAACTAGGTAAAATTTGTAATTATTAAGATACTGTCACTCTGTCCAGCTCAGGCTAGCTGTCAGTAAAACAAAAGAGAGTAAATTTACTCTATGACTGTTATTTTTAAGAGAACCTTACTTTATCATTACTAAAATAGAGCCCCAAGCCACAACACCAATACAACCACCACCTCCACTGCAACTACCAGAAATAAAAAAAAAAACCCAATAAACTAGGTATAGGCTTTTATCATTATTGATCTAATGCATTACAGTGATAAAAGTTGCTACAATCCACATCTTTTGGACTCAGGTGATATTTGGATACCACATCTCCTTTTTAGAGGAATATGTAAATTTTTAAATGTCATTAAAAGGTTGCATTAAGGAAATGATAATAAGGTTATATGATTGGACATTCTGATTGGCCCAAATGGCATTTACAAGGTCACTTACAGAGACCTCATAAAATAACTTTTGACGACTGTTACAGAGCCTTGTGTCTTTGATGAGTTTTTACAGTAGTTGAGTTTACTATAGTTGTTACCTAAAATTATATGTTTTGATTATTGTAGATATGACAGAAGGAGAAGATAAATCTGTCAGTGAATCGTTACGACAGGCAGCAAGTCAAGGACAGTTTGATCTTGTGAAAGAACTGGTAAAAACTGGTGCCAAGTTCAGTTCTGATCAAGTAAGTGATCTGCCTTTGATGGCAACTCTGAATAGCAAGGTCTTTGTGTAATTCAGAAATGTCTGTTTATATTCATTATTGTTGTTGTTGAACAAAATACAAAAGTGTGTGATTAATTATTACGATTTCAGTAAATTAATTCATCAAAGAATTTTTTGTAAAGTAATTTAATAAGTTTAAAGGTGTATCCATGTTTTCTGTTAACATTTTAAAGTTTCCTTAATCTTGAGTGAGCTAAGCTAGAAAAGTAAGAAGATAACAGGGCAGCAGTTTCTAACCTTGAGTAATGGAAAGACAAAAACATGATGAGTTTTTTCCTTGCAATGCCCTTAATTTTTAGTCTGCACAAAAATCCTGCATTTATCTGAATTTTAACATCTCAAATTAACAAAATTAGTTGAACGGAAACCCTCTGATAACATGATACTGTGATCAACAACTAGACAGGTGTCTATATTATGCAATACTATATAAAATGTCCTAAATCAAAAAAATAATACCAATGGTGAATGAATTTAACAGTTGTAAAAAGTCATGAAAATGTTTTTGTTTTTTTTTCACAATGTTGGAAAAAATCTGTCTAGTCACAGAGATGGACAAATAAATTAAAGTATAGTCCTTGTACAATTATTTATGGATTCTAATTATGATACAAAAAACACCTAAAAACAGAAAAAAAACAAACATATGATTATTGCCTGTTTGAGGTGGAACATAATCTTCCGATTTGTTGGTAATGGCATCATAAAATTTTCTACTAGGGGTGTTATGGGTTCTTTATTGCTTCCTATGTACCCTCGTCAATTACATCGTAATAAACTTCGTTCCATCAAATAAGAAAATGTGACAACAAGGGACGTTTAGTTGAATTCAGTGATTAAAATGTTCAATTTAAAGTTTCCTATTAAATTTATTGTATGTTTGACGAGTTTCATAATGTGACTTTATTAAATGGATAATATAAAAGGGTGCAAAAGACAGTTTTTTTCAAGAGACCCCAGGTGTATTGATTTTCATATAATGACCAGTCGTGGAATATTATAATAACAATATAATAACCTTTTTCTTATCCTCGACTGGTGAATGACAACTTAGATTAAGATATTATGATTAGAAATTTTGGATATGTGTTTAATACATACCCCCTAGGAGGTGGAAATGAAAGAAAGTTGGAGGTTAAGTGGTAGTTACTTGTATTAAATAAAACCGTAGAAGTAGATTTCTTCAAGGGTGTCTGAGACCTAAGCCATCAAGTTATTTGTAGAACCTACTATCAGGGGTCAGCAGTGTTTAATTTTACCCAACTTTTTTAGAAACTGTATATAAATTTTTAAATTACAAGATTAAGGCAGAGCAAATGTAAATATCGTCCATGTTTAAAAAAAAACTTACTTTAGTAAGTTTTTGGTTGTGTACCAGGAACAAGAAAAGGAATTAACAATTATTTTATGTTTTATGTGACAGTTTCTTGTTAGGAAATATACTATTTATGTAACATTCTTAATGATTGTGCCTTTTGAACATAACTGCTAGTTTCAAGCCTAGAAAGTAATGATAGGAAATTATTTAAATATATTTTTTTGAATTAAATTTTTATACGACGACCGTGTATACCTAACATGCTACATCATCACCTTAATAGGAAATCAGAGATTGTTTTGGTAAAGAGAGGAAATGTTTTGCAATTTCCTTTTTGTCCAAATACAATTTTGCTGTTACTTTTCAAAAAGCAATGAAAGAGCAAATTTCTTCATTTTTTCTATCTGTAGAAATTTCTGGCTTCTGATAAATGTTGTTTTTTAAGTGAATTTTGCAAAAAGTAATAAAAGAGGATGCCAAAAAAATAAAGATAATGCCATTTAGTATGTGGACTGAAATATTGTTGCTAATTTGTGTGCAGTAAAATTGAGAATGGAAATGGGGAATGTGTCAAAGAGACAACAACCCGACCAAAGAGCAGAAAACAGCCCAAGGCCACCAATTGGTCTTCAACACAGCGAGAAAATTCCACACCTGGAGGCATGCTTCAGCTGGTCCCTAAACAAAAATGTGTACTTGTTCAGTGAAAATGGATGTCACACTTAACTCCGAAACATATAAATGAATTAAAATTAAAAAAACATACAAGACTAACAAAGGCCAGAGGCTCTTGACTTGGGACAGGCGCAAAAATGCAGCAAGGTTAAACATGTTTTGTGAGATCTCAACCCTCCCCCTATACCTCTAGCCAATGTAGAATAAACAATATGCACAGTAAAACTCATTCATATTTTCTTGCATTTAAAGGTCATAAATGGATCAAATCCTTTTGCAGTAGTCATAGATGGATCAAATCCATTTGCAGTAGTCATATATGGATCAAATCCTTTTGCAGTAGTCATAACATAAATGGATCAAATCCTTTTGCAGTAGTTAGTGGTTGTTGAAGTTACATCTAGTAGTCATTATGAAGTGCAGTCTTTTAATTAGCAACCAAGTTTTACAGGACTAAAGAGCCTTTTAGTAAAATTCTACTGGCCCGCTGCAAAATATCTTTGTTGTCAGAGTGTCATTCATGGAGCAGGACTGTCGACCCTTCCAGATCTAGAACATCTGAATTCCCCCCAGTTTTTGAGGGGTTAATGTTTAACTTCAGCTGAGTCGAGTTTTCTATATTTTTAAAGTGTTTTGAGGGGTTAACATGGTTAAAGTTTAACTTCAGCTGAGTCTAATTTTCTATGAAGTGGTTTGAGGACTTCATAAGGTCTTCTCTTCCTTTTCTTTTGGCCATGGTATTTAAATGTCAGTCTTTCTGTAACTTAAGATTTTTATATGTAAATCTTCTTTTGTATCTTTTCTGTAACTTTTTTCTGCAACTTTGCTAAATAACCTCTACTGACCTTAATTATCTGTCATAACAAATGAAAGTACTGTTTTGATGAAAATTATTGTGTGATGTCCTACTGATACAATTAAAACCATTGGATTTTAAACAATAAATCCTTTTCTTTCTTCAATGTCTTAAAAGGGTGCACTTGATTCATACCTAAAATATGTATTAAGTCTCCCAGGGCCTCATCAAATTGATTTTATTATAATCTTTAGGATTACAGTTTAGGACACATGTTATATATCTTTGTCAATGAATTAGTAAGAAGTAATTAAAAAATTCTTTCTTCTTATCAGCAACACCAGCATGCTGTTATTCAGGAAATTTTTCTTTTTTTGAGTATATGTATAATCCGTTCTTGGTGACCCAGAAACCACTGTAGTCAATAAAATTTGATACAATTATATTTGTAATAAAGAAATGAACATGGTGATTGATTTCATTTGTATATTTTTTAACTGAAATCAATGCTTATAACTGACAACAGATGTGTAATGTAGTAATAGATTGTAAACATGATGTTTAAGATGTATAGTTATAATGAACATGCTTATTGATAACTGAAATTACATTAAATTATATTTTGAAGAATTCTTTTGTTGTAATGATAATTAGTCACACTGGTATATTGTTTATATCTATTTAATTAAGCTCCCTTTTGATTTTTATAAGTTTTTGATTTTACGTTTCTGAGTTATGGTATTTTATTCATAAAAAGGGGGGATAACTCAAAAAATGCTTTGAGCAGTTTTCATGAAACTTGGATGACTGGTTTATATCTATTAGAATAAGCTCCCTTTAGTTTATGAATTTCTGATATGACATTAAGGAGTTATGGAACTTTATTCACTGAAAAAAGCAACAGGTGTATCATGTGCTCATTGCGCAGCTCTTTATTTACTGATAAAACACTTTTACTAAGTACTCATGAACTACATTTTTTTATTTTTTCTTAAGTTTGGATTGGATTTTTGTTTTCATTAACTTCCTCTGAACTTGAACTCTATATTTTTTATTACAGTTGTGTCAATGGCTTTTTGAAAGTTTAGACAGTTTGAATATTTGATGAAATTTATGACTTCCAGTATATTCCCATATTGAGGTTTTCAAAATTGCAAAAAATCATTTCTATAGTTGTCAAATGAACAGTGAAAGAATAATTTTTTGTGTTTGCATATATGACGTAGTTATTTCTATAATGTCAAGAGTGAAATACAATTCACACTCTTCTTTTCAAGATTTTTAGGCATATTTATTAATCGGGCCTACATATGGATTGCACCTGTTTACATACGGAATGAATAATTTTCTTTCTCGGTAAAAATTTTGATTCAAAAACAGAAGTATAAAGAGAATTAATCATAGTTAGATTTAAATCGGGATTTATCCTGTATGGAAGGGGATTTCGAAAAGAAATAAAAATAATGATTAAACGCTACATAGCTGAAATGATGGGAAAAAGATTATAACTGTTATGTGTAAATTTGACATGTACCAAGTCACATATTTCTACATTAAAATTGGTTCTGCTGTGTTCCAATTAAAGAGGCGATTTTTACCCCCTGTGTTTAAGGAATTCTTTGTAAATGTTAAAAAGTATGAAAAATCCATCAGCTTTCTAAATAATCCAATTATTGAGAATACAGCTTCCGATGAAGATTTTGGAAAGTTAAGTTGTGTGACATTATTGTTTCATTGTTATATTGGTGTCAGACCCCTAAAATATTTTCCCCACTAAAAATTTTAGACATTGTGTTAATCTTCAGAAAGTGAGTCATATAAAGTTCACTGAGCTGTACTTTTGAGTACTGTGAAGTAAGTACTTTTATGACTGATGTGAATCAGTACTGTGAAGTAAGTACTTTTATGACTGATATGAATCAGTACTTGCATTGTGAAGTAAGTACTTTTATGACTGATATGAATCAGTGCTTGCATTGTGAAGTAAGTACTTTTATGACTGATGTGAATCAGTACTGTGAAGTAAGTACTTTTATGACTGATGTGAATCAGTACTGTGAAGTAAGTACTTTTATGACTTTGGCACTGTTATATCATGGGATCATTTTGGTGACCCTTGGTTTTTGTTTGGTTGGATAGTTGTCTCATTGCTTCTATGTAATTTGGCTTTGGTGAGAAGTGTCTCATAACCAATCATACCACATATCCTTATTTTATATTGAGAGGAAATTCTAAATGGGAAACCAATGTTTGTTGTTTTGTTACTTGAAGATAATCTTAAACTTGAATTACTCAATGAAATACAAAAGTTCTTGTTATTTTGATTGGAGCAAATGATGAAACCAAGAAATCACATTCCCTCAAAGTAGTCAAATTATCTACAACCATTAGATCGATAATGACATACCCTCAAAATATTCAAATTATCTCCAACCATTATAAATGATATACCCTCAAAATAGTCAAATTATCTCTAACCATTATAAATGATATACCCTCAAAATAGTCAAATTTTCTACAACCATTATAAATGATATACCCTCAAAATAGTCAAATTTTCTACAACCATTATAAATGATATACCCTCAAAATAGTCAAATTTTCTACAACCATTATAAATGATATACCCTCAAAATAGTCAAATTTTCTACAACCATTATAAATGATATACCCTCAAAATAGTCAAATTTTCTACGTCCAAAGAACAATGAAGAAATCACATACCTTCAAAATAGTAAAATTTTCTACAACCTTCAGAAATGAAATACCCTAGGCCTAAAAAAGGTAAACTTTTCTCTGACCAAGAAATTGGTTCCAATGAAAATAACTGAATTCACTTAAAGCTTTTTAGTATTTACCAATAACAGGTTTATTTTCTCAAAGTTGTTTTGATGAAATATTTCCAACTTATTATACTAACTTCCTTGTTAAGATTTATTGACTTATAGAACCTCAGGCTTGAACCTGTTATCCTTTCTGACGGGACTTTATATTGATGATTATATTTTGTGTTTCAGGAAGGGAGAACAGCTCTTCATTATGCTGCACTGAATGGACATGTAGATATCTGTAAATTCTTACTGCAGCAGGGATGTAGTATTGATGAAAGAGATGTGGTAGGTATTTAGTGTCCTAGCTAGCTCAAAATAAAAGGGCACAGCTACCCTCTGTCCTTCCTGGGTGCACTTCTGCCTTTTCTATGCACCCCTCTGATCTTTTGGCACTGTGCTTGGCATTTTTGCTTTCTGAAGAAAAATAGATACTTTTCAAAGCAACAAATCATTTGAGCTATTGGAATTACAAGAACCTCAACCTGAGGTGTCCAAAAGTTAGTTGACGTGTCATGTCAGCTTGTTTGTTTTACAGTGGTGTTAAATTTGACAATTTCTGCAGTGATCTTATAGTCCCACATATGGTCATATCATGATATGAGCTGGGTCGGATAGAAATCGACCGTATGCAAATGAATATCAATACATCTGTTAACCTATTTCAAGTTGAAAAAAATCTCTTTGGAAAGTCTGTAACTGTTTGAAAATTGAGTTGTTACCGTACACAAACCCTACAAAACAGACCAAAAGTAATCTTTTATTTCATATTTGAATGTTCTATAATCAACCAAAGACTTATATATGTAAATGTACAAGTGCACTTGCATAAGGTCGATTTCTATCTGACGCAGGTCATATGTTAAAAAAAGTCTGCCAAACTTTGGGTCTGCAATATTAATTTTCTTGTCAGTTTCACTCAAAACTTACCTACCAGTGTTTCTCTAACTCTAGCTGTCCCAACTAATAGCTAGAACTGCCAAATTAACAACCAAAATCTACCTGTCCCAATTAACTGCTAGAACTGACAAATTTGCAACCAAATCTACCTGTCTCAACTAACAGCTGGAACTGACAAATTTGCAACCAAATCTACCTGTCTCAACTAACAGCTAGAACTGACAAATTTGCAAACAAATCTACCTGTCTCAACTAACAGCTAGAACTGACAAATTTACAACCAATAATCTAGCTGTCTCAACTAACAGCTAGAACTGACAAAATTACAACCAAAATCTACCTGACCCAACTAACAGCTGGAACTGACAAAGTTACAACCAAAATCTACCTGTCTCAACTAACAGCTGGAACTGACAAAATTACAACCAAAATCTACCTGACCCAACTAACAGCTGGAACTGACAAAATTACAACCAAAATCTACCTGTCTCAACTAACAGCTAGAACTGACAAAATTACAACCAAATCTACCTGTCTCAGCTAACAGCTAGAACTGACAAAATTACAACCAAAATCTACCTGTCTCAACTAACAGCTAGAACTGACAAAATTACAACCAAAATCTACCTGTCCCAACTAACAGCTAGAACTGACAAAATTACAACCAAATCTACCTGTCTCAACTAACAGCTAGAACTGACAAAATTACAACCAAAATCTACCTGTCTCAACGAACAGCTAGAACTGACAAAATTAAAACCAAATCTACCTGTCCCAATTAACAGCTAGAACTGACAAAATTACAACCAAAATCTACCTGTCCCAACTAACAGCTAGAACTGACAAAATTACAACCAAAATCTACCTGTCTCAACTAACAGCTGGAACTGACAAAATTACAACCAAAATCTACCTGACCCAACTAACAGCTAGAACTGACAAAATTACAACCAAAATCTACCTGTCCCAATTAACAGCTAGAAGTGACAAAATTACAACCAAAATCTACCTGTCCCAACTAACAGCTAGAACTGACAAAATTACAACCAAAATCTACCTGACCAAACTAACAGCTGGAACTGACAAATTTACAACTCTCTGACACAGGACTTGTAATAATTAAATTTGCATGATACAAAGAATCTAAAATTATAACTTAAATCTATTGATTACGAAGGTTTTCAAGGATCACTATTATGTAAAAAAAAAAAAAGAAAAGAATTGGAATTTATATTCACATAATGAATTTGTTAAGTGTTGACCTATACAAATTTGTGGTTAGCGTCAGTATTTTCATAGTATTGGCAGATAGAAGGAAATTTCTCTACTCAGGTATATAGAATTACCTGTATTTCTGTAATTATTTTTTGATTAGTTAAACACTTACCTGAGAGGGTTATAAAAGTGCAAGGACAAAGATTTGTCTTTTTTTTGTACATTGAGACCAAAAAACGGTATATGTTACACCCTTTTTTGTCAGTTCACAGTTTTGATTAGTTGTTGAAAAATTCTTATGAAACATCTTTAAATGTATTGTTGACTTAAGACAGATGAAGAAATTTAATATCTGTGATCTTTTTTTTTTATGCAGGAGGAAATATTGTACATTCTTTTAAAGAGGTTTGGCTGATATTTGTGAAACAATCTAAAATGTGTTACTTTAAATTTTAGTTGCAATTGAAGGACTTTTTGAAACTGACCCTGGTGCGAAATGACGTCAGGTGAAATTGACTATGGTCCTCTTTGCAATTCTCCCATAAGTTGTTTTCTATTCAAACCTGTATTTTGCCGTCAAGTGATTTCTTAACTGTATTTTATGAGAAAGAAATCTTGCAAGAAGAGAAAAGTTTGACTTCAAACATATCATATCATATATTCATATGATATATTATTACATTCTGGTGGAAATTCTGCTGATTTAAATGTCCAGTGACGAACCAGTGCAGTATAGAATTAGGGAATCAATAGCTGTACTGTAAATTATTCATATCATAATACTGAGTATAAATTAAGAAGAAATTTATCTTTAAAGGAAATTGAGGAAGATATTGCCATTATGACATTAGGTCATAAAAGTGATGCATAGAGTACTCTACAATGACCTTGCAGCTGCTGTAAGGTCACGGTGTGACCTTTTGAGATGAAAACCATGGAAAATGTCAAGATAAAGAACAGGAATAAAAGTACTGTTTCTTTGCTATACTGAAACTTTTCTGGTATTTCTCGAGATTTTTGTCAATTCATATCCTTTCCCACTCAGATCAAAAACAGGTCTCAAAGCCAATGGTCTTGTTGTAGCATGCTTGCCTCAAGTGCAGGAGGTTTCGGGTTGGAACACAAGCCGGTTCAAACCATTATAGAATTGAAAATTGGTATTTGCTCCTTCTCTGCTCAGCACACAGCATTTAGGATTAAGAGCAAAGACTGGTCGGCTTATAGTCAGAAAATTGTACCGTAATAGGTTGACATATCTTTCTGCAGACTCTTACCTTGTTAACTAGCACGTAAAAAATCTGGCTTATATAAATAAAAAGATGTGGTATGAGTGCCAATGAGACAACTCCCCATCCAAGTCACAATGTGTAAAAAGTAAGCAATTATAGGTTAAAGTACAGTCTTCAACACGGAGCCTTGGCTCACACCGAACAGCAAGCTATAAAGGGCCCCAAAAAGACTAGTGTAAAACAATTCAAACAGGAAAACCAACGGTCTAATCTATATAAAAAAGAGAAACGAGAAACACTTATGAACCATGATGATGATCAACAAACGACAACAACTGAACAACAGGCTCCTGACTTGGGACAGGTGCATACAAATGCAGCGGATTTAAACGTTTCAAGCATGTTGGTCTAGTTCAGAGTAGGGTTTATATCAATATTGCATTAATGTGTTGTTGTCCTGAATTTACATGTAATTTGCCACTGGACATAAAACTATCCATTTATAATCATCATGATCTTTTGCACTCTGCAGGGTTATAAATCATGTTTCAATCACAAACCTGCAGATTTTTAGGCAAAGTAAGATTCACATCAGAATTAACTATATTTTTTATTGAATTTATTAGATAAAAGTTAAGTCAGCTGTATTTCATTTTAATTCATTTTATTTAACAATGTAATGAAATTCACAAATATCAGTTATTACATGCTGTTGCACTTTTGCTGCATAAGATGCAATTTACTTTGTTATGCTCTGATAGTTTTTGAAGTTTTATTACAATTCTGAGTATTATAATCTCTCAAGTTTGACATACCAATATATTCTATTCTATTCAAATGGTAATTTCTTAATTCTAATTCATGCAACTTTAATTGGAGGATTGAAATGGGGTTTTGGTTGACAATTGTTAAATAAAATTTAAATACATAGGTAAAGATTTATTTGAAATTGTAAAATATGGGATATAATAAAACAAGACAAATGTATCTTTTCTGATTTGAATTTACCAAAAATATTTGCTTCCTGGACTGACTGCTCTTGGGTTTCTTTGTAAGACAAAAGTTATATCATCAGATTTCCAACACTTTTGGTGTTGTTTGTTCATCCATGAAGGTTTTTACGTGTTTTATGTGTTGTATATATGAACTTCAGAATCAGTATCATGTTTATATGACCATAAATTTTCTATGTAATTTTAATGAATTTGATAATTTTACTGAGTATGTATACCCTCATTATATTTGTGTTTTATAGTGATTATGATTATAACACAATGTTGACTGCTGTACCCCTATTTATGACATTTTTACCTATTACGTCTGGTTTTTTTTCACACATTCTTGTCAATATAATGGAATTCTATGCGGCTGTCATACAAGTGAGAGGTTTAGCTACCTATAAAACCAGAATTAATCCACCATTTTCTACATAAGGAAATGCCTGTACCAAGTCAGGAACATGACAGTTGTTTCCATTCGTTTGATGTGTTTGAGCTTTTGATTTTGCCATTTGATAAGGGACTTTGCAATTTGAATTTTCCTTGGAGTTCGGTACTTTTGTTATTTTACATTTTTTTTATGTTTTCTACATTCTAAATCTGTAGTACCTAATACTAGAATAAGAAATAGGAGTGAACTGAATAAAAGGATATTGTGGAATAAACATCAAAGAAACTAGTAACCCATAGATATAAGTCAAAGCAAAATTTATTCTTGTACATTTAAAATGTATTACTGTGCATTCATTTATTTTCCTGTTAACAAATTTTGTGGACTGCAGAGAAAGTCCAGAGAAGTCCATAAAGTTAACCAGGTTCCCAAATACCTCACAAATATTAATGAATCTTCAAATTTTGTTTTTAGAAGCACATTGTTAAATCTCTAAATAACATTCTTCTGTTGAAAAGTTAAGCAGATTTTTATACAATGGTAGATTAAACATCAGCATGATTGGTCAAATAGTCTCATCATAAAATTCTAATGTAATTTTGTGTCATTTGAATTGGTCAAAAGGCAACTGCCCAGTACAAATAAAAGTATTTAACTACCCAAACGTTTTCTTTGTATAAAACTCGATTTAATACACAATGTGAAAAGTAACACCTTATTTAAAATTTGATTTAAGTCAACAAAAGCTAACCTTATCATTGTTATTAGACATCTTTAAGTGTATAAAGAAAATCGCCCAGGATTAAAACATTTTTGCGATGATACGTTGAAATATAATTATAAACACATTAGTGAGGAGAAAAAGTCCCTGGATTCCGTACAAACTATTATTTTCCAGGGATTTATGACCAGTTATAATTAATCTGTGTTCACATTATAATGTATGGAGTTTGTTTCTTTGACTGCATTGTAATTTGAAACGTCATAACTCTGAATTCTATCACTGTAAATTGTTTAACTGTCTCCCTGCGTTGATATATAAAATATATAAAAAAAATGAAATAATATTCTTAATATTGATTATATATTACTCCTTTAATTAATAAAGCAATAATAAATCTTTAACAAATCTTCAAAAAAAAGCAAAGTAGAAGGAAATCTCTCAAAGTTTACACAACTAAAACATTTAATAGATAAAAGAAGATGTGGTATGAGTGCCAATGAGACAACTCTCCATCCAAGTCAAAATTTATAAAAGTAAACCATTATAGGTCAAAGTACGGTCTTCAACACGGAGCCTTGGCTCACACCGAACAGCAAGCTATAAAGGGCCCCAAAAATTACTAGTGTAAAACCATTCAAACGGGAAAACCAACGGTCTAATCTATATAAAAAACGAGAAACACTTATGAACCACATCAACAAACGACAACTACTGTACATCAGATTCCTGACTTAGGACAGGTGCAAACAATTTAAACGTTTTAATGGAACCAAACCTCCACCCTGATCTGAAACAACAGTGTAACATCACAACATGGAACAATAGAAAAAAGATCTATTTTAGTTATGGTTTATTTTGAATTAAAAGTTTTGGAAGGACTGCAAAATAAGAATGACTGTACAAGACTCGATCTAATTGTCAAAGAATAAGTTTTTTGTACTTTAATTATAAAATCCTTAACTAGGGCAGTGTAACATATGGAGTAGGAACTGTTTGAAATTCTGGGAATTAAACTAGAACGGTAGTTACGGTACTATAAAAAATATAGTAAAAAATAATTCTAAAGTACATTTTTGTTGATTTAAAAGTACAGTCAACTTTAGATACATGTTTATAAAAGCATTTTTATTACAAATATCATTAGGAAATATTAATATGTCATTATAGCATGGGTCATTATTTACCAATTTATGAGGATTTCTATTGATCTTACAATTTCAGTGTCAAAAATGCCATGTATGTATTAGATACACCTTGAGGGAGATAGGGACCTAATAAATTGATGTATACATTTTTTTACAATTTAAAAAATATTTCTTCTACACTTCAAGTGATATACTTATTACTTTTAAGAATATGCAGGTATGCAAAAAATATTATTGTTTGTCGCTCTGTAAGGGTTGCAAAGAACATAGACATACTGAGTGTTTGTCAATTTTCGTCTGTTTGTCAAACTTGTAAGCAATGTGATTGATCAACTTTTTGTTAAAGGAGTTATGGTCCTTGGAAATAATTATTATATTGAATTTTGCATTTAAGGGCTTTCAGGCCTACGTTTTTTGTCAAATTTTTATGAAATTTCTATCAAACATTTATCATGTTTATATCAGTAATGTCTTAGATGAGTTCTCAAATCAATTCTAATTAACTATGATGACAGGAGTTATGTCCCTTTGAAATATGATCAGTATTTAAAATTGCATTGTTATTACTTTCACGACTATATTTCTTGTCAAATATTTATGAAATTTATATCAAAATTTCATATCAGTGAGCTAGGTCTTTGACTAGTTTTGATAATCAGCACAGATCACCTATTACAGGAGTGATGCCTCTAGGAAATAAAAAGTATATGGAAAATTGCAATCTCACACATCCATTTCATATAGGAGATTATTAGATAGTTTAAAAGAACTAAAAAAATATATTGTGAATTATCAGATAAAATATGTGCATCAGAGGGTGAGACAATGTAACTCTGTTCTTTTATTTCTTTTGCTTTTAAGATATATTTATGAATAAAAGAAAATGGGGTATATATATCAAGGAGAAAAACAACCCAAAACTCTAAACTTAGACATTTCGACAAGAGAATATCAATTAAATGACACCAATGGAATGAGTTCTTAATAATTTATAAGCCAATAAGAAAATATTGTAAACACATATCTCGTACTCTTAACCCCAGATTGATTGAAGTATAAAATTGAAATGAATTTTCATGTTCATTTTATTAAATATGAAAATTAGTTAAAAGTTTATCATCAAATGAAATCACATTTGTGAAATGTATATCAAAATACTTAATGACTTATCTGAAGCTTGAATCTAATGACTATTAAAATAGTCTTGTTTATTACTTTTCTTTGCCGAAAGTTTAATAAAGTGCTTACTGTATTTTACTGAATTTATCACATTACAAGCTATTTCGAAGGATCAAATTGGTATTAATTCTATTTTTTTTTTATTTGAAATATGATAGGGAATATTTTGACTTGAAGTTAGATGAATCCATGATAACTGAATTTTGTAATAAAATTGTCCTTATATATACAAAGTTTATAACCATTGAGTGCTGTTACTCAGCATTTTGACATTAAATTTTTTCTCTTAGAATGAAACTTACAAATATGTAAATTTTTTTACTCATATATGAAAATAAGAAGATGTGGTATGATTGTTAATGAGACAACTCTCCACAAGAGACCAAATGACATAGAAGTTAACAACTAAAGTCACCATACGGCCTTCAACAATGACAAAAGCCCATACTGTATAGTCAGCTATAAAAAGCCCTGATTAATGACAAATGCTTACATGAGCTAAACAAAAAACATTTTTGCAAAATTACTAGAAAAAACATCTTTATGTCTAAAAAAATACATGGCAAGTTTTTAATGTAATACTATATACCAGTTTATCTGGAATACATATATACTGGTAATATAATATAAAGCAAATTTGTCGACCACCTTTTAGAATATTTGCCAGTGCTTGTTTAGTTCAACTTTGTAAATTAAAAGTAATTATTATGTAAAATAAAGGTTCTTTCATTATATTTAGTAGAAAAATCTATTTTTAAAAATACTTTCGTATTTTAAAATGAATTAAGTGAGGGTCATTTTTCAGTTTAATCATCAATTATGTCAGTTTTTGATATTGATATCATATGTTAAATAACATGGAAATAGCGTTAATAATTCAAAACAAGGTATATTGTAGGTGAGGTTTAGTTAAATAGTACTTTAAGATTTTTTCCTGTGTTAGTCAATAAATTACTGAAAAAATCCTGTGTTGCACCTCCGGAGTATTTGATAAAAATTCTGTGCATCAAACTGGATTTGATCAAATTTCCATGTGGCGCACAGGAATTTCATTAAATTTTCTGTATGATGCGCAGGCAGGGTAAAACACATATATTAAAATTAATTTAGATTTGATTTAAGTTAAAACACCTACTTTTTTGTAATATTAGAAAGGTTACTATACTCATATGGCGTGCTTGTCAAGTGGCAAACACGCTCATTCTCTGGGTATACAATTCAAACCTATCTGTAACTTAATAAGACTACATGTTTGCAATTTTAGATATGAAAATAACAGTAGGTGTGGTATGATTGCCAATGAGACATTATATTCACCAAACACCAACTGACAAGGATGTAAAAATAAAAACAGTTATTCAATATATTCGGTTGTACACAAAAATCTTCTGTTCAGTGTGTTGTGACACATGCATGTATTTTTGAGACAATTTCAATTTTTTTTATGTTAAAAACTGACAAATTAAAGATTTCATTATAATAATATTATCACACAATGTTGTAGACCAAAAAAGTTTTGACATGAATATAAAATCAACTATAATTAAACACTTTAATTTTTGGGAGTTGGAACCTTAGTTTTATTTGTTTATTTTTTTTTAGTTATAAATGGAGAAATTTTAGAAAATTTTCAGTTTCTTGGCAACATAGACAACTGTCAAAGCAGTGCGTTTTTATTTATATTTCTGATGTCACAATGATTTATGTTATAACGTCACAGGAAGAGTCATCTGTTCAATGACGTCATTTATGCCCCTTGACCTTTGGTCAGCCGGCATAACGCATTCATAAAAGCAGAACTTGAAATAGGTCTATTAGAACAAAAACACTAAATGTATATTGTTTTATATCAAGCAATGCTTGGTTTTAAAATTGCTTTTTGATGATTTGAAAAAAATAACCCAGATTCCAAAGTTTCTTGATATACCACTGTCTCTAAAAGCCTCTTAATTCATCACTAGATGTATAGCAGCCTCTAAAATCATCAAATAATTTAAATGTATATTAGGAATTTAATATTTGACTTTGTCCCAGAGATACTGCCCTTGATACTAAGGAGGCAAGGTATTTTGATAGTTATTAAGTATTAATAAAACTTTTTTGTCATTTTGCAGCTTGGTTACACACCCCTTCATCGAGCAGCCTCCAAAGGACATGTAGAAGCCATAGAATTGTTGCTGACATCCAAATGTAATGTGGATTCACAGGATGAGGTAATTTGGGGCAAATATTTAACAATTCAACAAATTGAGACATTAACATGCTTCATTTGAAATTTGAGGCCAATATTTAACTGTTTAAAAACAGATGTGGTTAATTGATCGCAATTAGCAATTAGAGAACTATCTAAATGACATATTGATTTATGCAACGACATGTATAGGGCACAGTATGACCTTTGCAATGAGCAAAACTCACACTGTAAGCTGAAACAATTCAAATGAGAAAACCAAAGGCCTGATTTATGATAAAACAATACACAAAAAACTATGATTTGTATTTTCTTTTAACATGAATTCTAAAAAAGGTAAAGGAACCATGCAATAATTGAATTGTTTTATATTTATCATGTCAGGGCCTTTTATAGCTGACTATACAGTATCGGTTTTTATACGACCGCAAAAAAATTTTGTGGTCGTATATTGGTATGACGTTGGCGTCGTCGTCCTCGTCGTCGTTTGGCGTCGTCGTCGTCGTCGTCCGGCGTCATCGTCCGAATACATATTGGTTTTCGCACTCTAACTTTAGTTTAAGTGAATGGATCTTTTTGAAATTTGACCATAAGGTTAAATACCACAAAAGGAAGGTTGGGATTGATTTTGGGGGTTATGGTACCAACAGTTAAGGAATTAGGGGCCAAAAAGGGGCCAAAAATGAGCATTTTCTAGTTTCCAGACAATAACTGTGGAACGGTGTATGGATCTCTCTGAAATTATACTACAAGTTTCCATACCACAAAGGGATGGTTAGGATTTGCTTTGGGGGGTTATGGCTCAAACCGTTTAGGAATTAGGGGCAAAAAAGGGGGAAAAACAAGGTTGTCCTGGTTAATGGACAAATACTTTAGTACAAAACATAATTTAAAGCAGTGTAAGGGAGATAAATCAAATACATCATTGAAATTATCTCCCTTACACTGCTTTTAAATTATGTATAAAGTAATGGTTAATGAACAATAAAGATAATCTAAAACAGTGTAAGGGAGGTAATCCAAATACAACGTTTTGGTTACTTCCCTTACACTGCTTTTAAATTATGTTTAAAGAAATGCATATTTATAAAGGAAGACCAGTAAAAATATCTGCAAATGTTTTCATCTTTTTTTTTTACAAAAAAATCCATATGAAAGATTTGACACTATATTTTTATTAATTCTATTATAAAATAGATTAAGTTAGCACTGTGGTAAATTTAAATGGGTAATTATGGTTGCCAACTCCATTGGAAATTTGAATTGAGATTATGACCATATCTTGAGGGAAAGATTTTTTTGGGGGGAAAAAGGGGGGGGGGGGGGGATAAAAAGAAATTGTGGGGGGCCAATTTTTTCTCATTTCAGATTTCAGAAATTAAAAAGAATTATTCTTCAAATATTATTTTTTTTTCAAATTTCAAATATTGAAAAATTTCAAGAAGTAATCTTTAATTGCACAGTATGGCTCATTAGATTTGTAAAATCTTTCTTTGATCACATTTATTTATTTGTTATGCCGAATCTAACAGTGTATTTAGATTTTTAATTTTGGGTCCAGTTTTCAAATTGGTCTACATTAATGTCCAAAGGGTCCAAAATTAAACTTTGTTTGATTTTAGCAAAAATTGAATATATGAGGTTCTTTGATATGCTGAATCTAAACATGTATTTAGATTTTTGATTTTTGGCCCAGTTTTCAAGTTGGTCCAAATTGGGGTCCAAAATTAAACTTTGTTTGATTTCAACAAAAATTGAATATATGGGGTTCTTTGATATGCTGAATCTAACCATGTATTTAAATTTTTTATTTGTGGACCCCGTTATCTAATTGGTTCATATTGAGGTCAAAAGGGTCCAAAATTAAACTTTGTTTGATTTCATCTAAAATTGAATTATTGGGGTTCTTTGATATTCCAAATCTAACCGTGTATTTAGGTTTTTAATTTTGGGTCCTGTTTTTTAAATTGGTCTACATTGAGGTCCAAAGGGTCCAAAATTAAACTTAGTTTGATTTTAACAAAAATTGAATTCTTGGGGTTCTTTGATTTGCTGAATCTAAACATGTGTTTAGATTTTTTATTATGGGCCCAGTTTTCAAGTTGGTCCAAGATAGGGTCCAGTATTTAAACTTTGTTTGATTTCAACAAAAATTGAATATATGGGGTTCTTTGATATGCTGAATCTAAACATGTATTTAGATTTGTGATTATGGGCCCAGTTTTCAAGTTGGTCCAAGTTGGGGTCCAAAATTAAACTTTGTTTGATTTCAACAAAAATTGAATATATGAGGTTCTTTGATATGCTGAATCTAACCATGTATTTAGATTTTTTATTTGTAGGCCCCGCTATCAAATTGGTTCATATTGAGGTCAAAAGGGTCCAAAATTAAACTTTGTTTGATTTCATCGAAAATTGAATTATTGGGGTTCTTTGATATGCCAAATCTAACCGTGTTTTTAGATTTTTAATTTGGGTCCCGTTTTTTAAATTGGTCTTCATTGAGGTCCAAAGGGTCCAAAATTAAACTTAGTTTGATTTTAACAAAAATTGAATTCTTGGGGTTCTTTGATATGCTGAATCTAAACATGTGTTTAGATTTTTGATTATGGGCCCAGTTTTCAAGTTGGTCCAAGTTGGGGTCCAAAATTAAACTTTTTTTGATTTCAACAAAAATTGAATATATGGGGTTCTTTGATATGCTGAATCTAACCATGAATTTAGAATTTTTATTTGTGGGCCCCCCTATCAAATTGGTTCATATTGAGGTCAAAAGGGTCCAAAATTAAACTTTGTTTGATTTCATCAAAAATTGAATTATTGGGGTTCTTTGATATTCCAAATCTAACCGTGTATTTAGATTTTTAATTTTAAGTCCCGTTTTTTAAATTGGTCTACATTAAGGTCCAAAGGGTCCAAAATTAAACTTAGTTTGATTTTAGCAAAAATTGAATTCTTGGGGTTCTCTGATATGCTGAATCTAAACATGTGTTTAGATTTTTGATTATGGGCCCAGTTTTCAAGTTTGTCCAAGTTGGGGTCCAAAATGAAACTTTGTTTGATTTTAACAAAAATTGAATATATGGGGTTCTTTGATATGCTGAATCTAACCATGTATTTTGATTTTGGACATTGGACCATAATAGGTAAATTAAAAAAATTCAAGTTCTTAGACCACATTCTTTCTGTGTCAGAAACCTATGCTGTGTCAAATATTTAATAACAATCAAAATTCAGAGCTGTATCAAGCTTGAATGTTGTGTCCATACTTGCCCCAACTGTTCAGGGTTCGACCTCTGCGGTCGTATCAAGCTGCGCCCCAGCGAAGCATTTTATTCTCATTGGTAAAGGCCATACGGTTGCCAATAATTGCTTACATCCACTTTATTTGAACTTTGGTCAATAGTTGTCTCATTGGCAATCATACCTCATCTCCTTATTTTTATAATAAAATATATAAAAATGCTTTTCCACAGAGCTGTCTCATATTAAGGGTAGAAGTAATTTTTTGTAATTTACCCCAAATTTTTTTATCTTCAAATTTCCCAAAATTGGTGACTAAAATCAAAACCACTGCAGAAACTGCTCCACAGAGCAGCATCAGTATGTGCGGTATATATGTCAATGAGATATCATCCAAACAACAAAAATAACGCCTAGGGGTCAATAAACAAAACCATCTTCAACAAAAATGGGTGTGTACAATTTGTCCTATTGATTTTTGAATTTACTGTCTGAGGTCAAGGTCAAAGTTACTAAAATAAAATTTTTAAGGGAGCAACATCCCCAATATAAACCTGAATGGCATATAGTGACCTCATAGTTTTTTTTATGATTTCATACAGTAATACACTATATGCTTTTCATTGGCCTAGAAATTTTGTTTGAATTATCTTCTTATTGACTTAAATATGCCTTAGCATGCTTAGTTCCTAAACTCGGTGCAATTTTGAACTTGAATCTTTTTTTTGTGGCAATCCCTATCATTAAAAACTATGTTGACCTTCAGATGTTTTTGTTATTGTTGGGTAACTGTCTCATTGATGTGACTTCTCATCTCCTTTTATTCAAATTAAATGCAAAAAACTCGTATGTATTACCATAAAGGATAAGAATGAGCTCTCAAATGTCACTGTACTGCCTAAGATTCAATGTAGCAAAGAAATAGCACTTCAGACTCAAATAACAAATAAAATACAAAGTAGGGTCAATTTTACAAAATTTGAAATAGAACCTTTTTATGCTAATTCCAGAATCTTTATTAAAATTTGGTGTCTGGTTTTGAAATGAGCTTGTATTAATTAACGCTGTTTGATACACATGTAGAAAATAACGCTGTCATGTTTTATATACTATTTGTAAAACATGTTCAGGTGCTAGATTTCTCATTTTTTGTACCAGATACGTGTCGTCTTTCTGATAAGAAAATTTCTGTCCTGTATTTAAATATTACATAATTCATCAACAAATTGAATTTACAAGTAAATTGACTGAAAGAAATTGTTTTGTGTCGATTTGTTTGCAGTGATTCATGATTTGGTATTCAGTTTAAGACCAATATACCATCACGTCACGATACATTTCATCTATTACTTTTATTATATTTATTTTTTAATTGAATTGAATGGCCTTATTTCCATATTTTAATTTAATTACAAAAATACTCCATTTTCGTTTCTTTTTATAGAAATACCGTTTAAGATTATATCAGACTGTTTTAATTTAGTTTTGAAAGGGCGATAATTAAAAACATATAAAAACTATAATTTATAAGTTATCAATTAAAGTTTGTCTGAAGTGAAATGAGACAAGATGAGTCAAATGTTTTATGGGTCTTTACTTCATTACCTGGTTAGATGTTTATCGCTGTGTGTATAGGATGAACACATACCATTGTCAAGGAGTTCCTTTCATGGTGTGACCTGTCAAAATTTTGGTGTTCGTGACTTTGTCAGGGAACACCTATGTTAGTTTTGGTGTACCCATAGCTGTTCTATTACACTGTCAGGGTACACCTATGATGTTAGTTTTGGTGTACCCATAGCTGTTCTATTACACTGTCAGGGAACACCTATGATGTTATTTTTGGTGTACCCATAGCTGTTCTATTACACTGTCAGGGAACACCTATGATGTTATTTTTGGTGTACCCATAGCTGTTCTATAGCACTGTCAGGGAACACCTATGATGTTAGTTTTGGTGTACCCATAGCTGTTCTATTACACTGTCAGGGAACACCTATGTTAGTTTTGGTGTACCCATAGCTGTTCTATAGCACTGTCAAGGAATACCTATGATGTTAGTTTTGGTGTACCCATAGCTGTTCTATAGCACTGTCAGGGAACACCTATGATGTTAGTTTTGGTGTACCCATAGCTGTTCTATAACACGCACTGTCAGGGTACTATCAATGATGTTGAAGATTTGGTGAAAAATGAAATTGACACATATACACATATAAATAAAGTGATTTCTTCAATGAAGTTGTAATAAAACCATCCAGTTAAGAAAATCCCATCCCCACAAAAAAATAAAGAAAAATGAAGCAGACAGAACAGGGGCTTTATAAATTGAAGTGAATAAAACACTTAGAGAACTTAGAACTATATAAGTAAGGGGAATATTATGTTACTGACAAAAGGGTAGCAAAATAATTACTGTAAATTCAGAAATTATTGCGTGCATTTATTATTGCGATTTTGTCATTTTAGACTAAAATGCGATTTTGAGGAAAATCCTGTTTAATTTATATAAAAAATTTCAAAATGCGAGTTAAAATTATTGCGATTAGAACCCTGTCACATTTTTTGCAATAATAAAAACATCGCAATAATTTCTGAATTTACAGTATAGTGGTTTGAGTACTGAAAAACCCCATTCGCGACAATCACTGAACAACTTATTCAAGGTTAAGAAACTCATTGTAATCTAGGGGAGATAACTCAGGTAGACAATATTTACTTGATTTTCAATGCTCATTAACTTGATCATAGAATTGTTCTTTAAACTATTTTGATTTGAGTGCTTTTGATGAGTCTTATATAGACAAACATTAATCTGGTTGACCAAATTATAAGCCGAGTATGTTTGATGACTTTTAATTTTCTGTTTTCAGCATGGAAATGGTGTCATCCATGAATCAGCCTGGAATGGTTTTAGTCAGACATTAGAACTGTTGATTAAACACCATTGCAATGCTATTCTAACTAATAAGGTAAGCGAATTTCATTATTTTTTTTGAATAATTAATGATTTAACATTAACTGCGACGGAATGAGTCATAGGTGTTGCTTTTCAGGCCCCATTGGAGTTAGCAGCGGTGTCAACAATTATTAAGTTTTCTGCTTAAGTTAGTTTGAAAGGAACTATTTGTGATAGCTCATTGATATTTTCTATAAAGTTGCATTACTATCAGTACATATCAGTTTGAAGACTATTTTGAGGCCTTGTCCCCTAGGTCATGGTCCAGTGACTTTCAATTTTCAATGCTAAGTTGTCTGCTTAAGTTAGTTTGATGTTTGATAAGAACTACTTGTGAATCAATGAAATGTTCTATAAAGTTGCATTACTATCAGTACATATCAGTTTGATGACTATTTCAAGGCCCTGCTCTCTAGGTCATGGTCCAGTGACTTTCAATTAATTACCAATTTTCAATAGTAACTTTTCTGCTTAAATTAGTTTGATGGGAACTATTTATGATATTGTCTATAAAGTTACATTAACACTATCAGTACATCTCAGTTTAACAATCATTTTGACTAGCTGCTCTCCATGTCATCTCAGTGTATTCAGTAGATTTTATATGTCTAGGTCATAAATCAAAGTGTTTATGATAATCAGCCCCAATCACTATTTACACAATGATTTTTTAAACTACAGTTAGTCGACTTGCAAGAGTAATTTTAACTGAATCACTTTGTGTGTACTTGATCATATAATGTTTTTTGACTGAATCACATTGTGTGTAATTTATCACATAATGTTTTTTCTGAATCACTTTGTGTGTACCATTTCAAGTTTGTCATATGCATTACATTTGTGTGATAAGAGAACAAAGGGATAACATACTCAGAATGATTAAGCATATCCTACAACAACCCCCACCTCCCAATAAGAGGTCTAGATGCAAGCACAAAAATAAGAATAATTCATTTACTATTAGGTAATTCATTTACTATTAGGTAATTCATTTACTAGTAGGTAGGTGTTCAAATGTTTGTTGACTTGATGAAGGACAGGAAATCATGACTGCTACTGGAAAAAAAGAGGAGGTTGGATAGGGGCACAAATTGTGTTGAAATTGGTCAACTACAGATCCCTAAAAGAGTTATGACAAGAGTCTCTAAAAATGAGGAGTTGAATTCATAATTTTTATGCCCCCGCCGTAGCGGAGGGGGCATTAAGTTTTACCCTTGTCCGTCTGTACGTACGTCCCAAAATTGGTTACCGTTCTCTAACTTGAGTTTGCCTCAACCAAATGTTATGAAACTTATAGACAATGTAAGTTACCACAAAACACAGATTGTGTTTTGTCTGGGTCACTTTAACCATTCTAGAGTTATGCCCCTTTATAAATGGAAAAATTGCAAAATTTTTAGTTTCCGTTCTCCAACTTAAGTTTTCCTCAACCAAATGTTATGAAACTTATACACAATGCTTATTACCACCAAATACAGATCAAGTTTGAATTTTGGTAGCATCACTTTAACCGTTCTAGAGTTATGCCCCTTTATAAATGGAAAAATTACAAAATTTTTAGTTTCCTTTCTCTAACTTAAGTTTGCCTCAACCAAATCTTATGAAACATATACACAATGCTTATTACCACAAAATACAGATCAAGTTTGAATTTTGGTGGGGTCACTTTAACCATTCTCGAGTTATGCCCCGTTATGAATGGAAAAAAATGCAAAATTTTTAGTTTCCTTTCTCTAACTTAAGTTGCCTCAACCAAATGTTATGAAACTTATACACAATGCTTTTTACCACAAAACACAGATCAAGATGAATTTTGGTAGCGTCACTTTAATCATTATCGAGTTATGCCCCTTTATAAATCGGAAAATTGGAAAATTTTTAGTTTCCGTTCGGTAACTTAAGTTTGCCCTAACCAAACATTATGAAACCTATACACAATACTTATTACCTTAAAACTCAGATCAAGTACAAATTTGGGTAATGTCACTTTTATTGTTCTTGAGTTACGTCCCTTTATAATGGTGTATGCAAGCGGGGGCGTACGCCCCCCCCCCCCCCCCCCCCCCCCCCCCCTTTTCTTGCACTTTTTTTTTTTTTTTTTAATTAAGACTGTAAAATGATTAATCAGACTAGATTTCGTTTACTTTGCCATTTCCCGTATATTTTATGCGACAATTCGTTACTTATAAAGATATTATTCGCTCGTATTTACGTGTAATATATTATTGATTATGTCAAAGTCACGTGATTCGCTACCGTGGAGTTGACCAGTATGTCGAAATAACGTCACTCAGTCATTTTGAAATTCAAATTACAGTAACACATTGCTAAGGCTGAGGATGACAAGACAAGCATGACTCATTCAAAGCGACAAAGGACGTATTGACTCCTATTTCACAATTCCACCCAACAGAAGGTAATACTCTATTACACTCACATGATGAAAAAAAGTTCCACAGCTATAATATTTACCTACGAAAACATGTTTAACCCCACACGCCCCAGCCCATTAATAACATTGCTGAATAATGATCCCCAGTCAGTAATCTCTAGATAGATTAAAAGTCTTAGGTACGGACCATTTGATTTTTGGGGGGGTCTAAGATATTTTAGAGAAAAAAAAATTCTGGCCCTGATTTTTGCCTTAAAAAAAAATTCTGGCCATACCTGGGTTGAAAACAATAATCTTGCCCACTTTTATACTATTAGAAAAAAAAATTTCCAACAAAATTATTTAGCATTAAATGTATAAAAAACTGGCGTAATTTTTGTCGAGCCTGCGACTTTTGTCGCAGAAAGCTCGACATAGGGATAGTGATCCGGCGGCGGCGGCGGCGGCGGCGTTAGCTAACTTCTTAAAAGCTTTATATTTTAGAAGGTGGAAGGTCTGGATGCTTCATACTTTGTATATGGATGCCTCATGTTACGAAGTTTCCGTCAGTCACATGTCCAATGTCCTTGACCTCATTTTCATGGTTCAGTGACTACTTGAAAAAAAAGTTCAGATTTTTTGTAATGTTAGATTCTCTCTTATTATAAGTAATAGGATAACTATAATTGGTATGTGCGTACCTTGCAAGGTCGTCATGCCCGTCAGACAGTTTTCACTTGACCTCGACCTCATTTCATGGATCAGTGAACAAGGTTAAGTTTTGGTGGTCAAGTCCGTATCTCAGATACTATAAGCAATAGGTCTAGTATATTCGGTGTATGGAAGGACTGTAAGGTGTACATGTCCAACTGGCAGGTGTCATCTGACCTTGACCTCATTTTCATGGTTCAGTGGTTATAGTTAAGTTTTTGTGTTTTGGTCTGGTTTTCATATACTGTATGCCATAGGTCTACTATATTTGGTGTATGGAATGATTGTAAGGTGTACATGTCTAGCGGGCAGGTGTCATCTGACCTTGACCTCATTTTCATGGTTCAGTGGTCAAAGTTAAGTTTTTGAGTTTTGGTCTTTTTTTCTAATACTATATGCAATAGTTCAACTATATTTGGTGTATGGAAATATTTTATGATCTATTTGGCAGTCACGCAGGTTTTATTTGACCTTGACCTCATTTTCAAGGTTCATTGCTCAGTGTTAAGTTTTTGTGTTTTGGTCTGTTTTTCTTAAACTATAAGCAATAGGTCAACTATATTTGTTGTATGGAAGAATTGTTAGCTGTACATGCCTGCCTAGCATGGTTCATCTGACCTTGACCTCATTTTCATGGTTCATTGGTCAATGTTTAGTTTACTTGGTTAATGTTAAGTTTATGTGACAGTTGTAATAAAGCTTTATATTTAGGACTATCAACATAATATCAATGATTAGTAAAGAAGGCGAGACATTTCAGCGTGTGCACTCTTGTTTTTGTTGGTTCGCATGTAAATCCCAGGCCACCCTCAGAAAATCAAATGGTCCGTGCCTAAACTCTTGTTGGTATTTGAATTACTATTCTTGTGTTTCTTAATGTTTTTAAAAGGAGTTTAGACTAAAGAGAGGGATGTGACTGGAATGTCTGTTTCACCGAACTGGTATACTGAGTACTTTTTTCAAGGACCGACTGCAACCTGCCTGCTAGGTGTGGCCTTTAGGTCTCCATTTTTGACAGTCATTCACAACTTCGTTGTCATTTCAGACTCATTCATAGCCTTTGGTTGATTTTGAACCACTCACTTCCCTTGTTGGGTGAAACATTTCAACCATACATTTGGATAAAAATCATTGATTATGAAAAAATCATTGAAGATTTTTCTCGACGAAATCCGAGGAAGATGCTTCTAGTGAACCCTATGGCTTAGACGACAGATTTGTACAGAAGTCATCTCTAGAAACTCACAATAAATGTTTTTGTGGATATATTTTTTATTGATAAGTGAATAAAGTAAAACATCAATTATATTAGTATGTATGATCAGATGCATCTGGGGTGTGAATCACAAATTCTCAATGCATTCTTCAGATGCTAGTTGTGACCTCTATTTCAGTGACTGACTTGGCTAGGGAGAATTTTTCCATGTCCATTTTTTACTGACAAATCCCACATCAAATATATTGGTACATAGCTTTGGATCCATCCAATCATTTTATAATAGACAATTAATGGGGAGAATACGGCATCAAAAATGTTCAACCCTTACACTTTAACTATAAAATATACATGCCGCATGTCAAGAACCGTTTAATTAGTGCATTTTACACTTATTTTATGTTTTTTAGCCAAAAAAAGGTAAAAAAAAAATTTTGCCTTGCTCCGCTCCGCGAAAGATTCTATTCTACGCCCCCCCTTTTAAAAATCCTGGATCCGCCCCTGGGGACACATTCTCCATTTATTTATTTTGAATGGATGTAGATGCATAACTAGTAATACATCTCTCACTGCAAAAACAAAGGCTCCCTCAGGACTGGCCACTGCTGGACAGAGATCCAGTAAATAATTTTCTATGTCCTTCGTATACCCTTGGCATTGATCAAAATTGAAATGGTATTAGCATTGCATTGTGGATCTTTATGTGCCACCTACGATTGTAGTAAGGGCATTATGTTTTCTGGTCTGTGCGTCCGTCCGTTTGTCTGTTTGTCTGTCTGTCCCGCTTTAGGTTAAAGTTTTTGGTCAAGGTAGTTTCTGATGAAGTTATATAAAGTCCAATCAACTTGAAACTTAGTACACATGTTCCCTGTCATATGGACTTTCTAATTTTAGTGCCAAATTAGAGTTTTGACCCCAATTTCACGGTCCACTGAACATAGAAAATGATAGTGCGAGTGGGGCATCTGTGTACTATAGACACATTCTTCTTATACATGTATTTATATAGTTTAACAAAAATATGTCTCTCAAGTCTTTGATAGGTATAAAGGTACATGCAGTAGGAGAAATAGAGCTGTGTTTGCAGCTCAGCCTGTAAGGGGGACAGGTATAGGGTCTATTTCAGTCTGGATTTACAGCTCTACATTTAGCCAGTCAGAATGATCACTTTCGAAGTACAGAGAGTAATGTATTATTACTTTTATATATTTTAGTCTGGATTTACAGCTCTACATTTAGCCAGTCAGAATGGTCACAATCAAAGTGCTAGAGTTCTTTTGTATGGAGGCTGTAATGCAGACCTAAAAAACAATGTAAGCATAAATAGCCATGTTATCAGACAGATCTGAGCTATCTGAGCTTCATGTCAGTGCCTAAGGATGTTTGTAATCTTTTTCTACAGTATTCTTTAACAAATATTTCCTGATTTTCTCTAAAAAAAACACTTCTGAAATTGTTAAAAATCTTATTTATGTATTTTTCATACAGTTAAATGTCCTGAATATGCATGAAATATTTGCCACTGGATATTTATCAAACAATCAATTGATCAGTGATAAATAGTTTTAAATTTGTTTCTTCCTATGAATTTAACATTATTTTTCTGAAAACAGTTTTTCCCATCAAAAATTCTTAATCTTCAAATGCTTGTACTTCAAATTCAATCCATTATTTAGATGTATGGAGTAGTTTACATTACCTTTTGAAAAAAATACCATCCTTTATGAAAAGGCTGTCATTTTGAATTTTAGTGGCTAATTTAACAACTTGATGCAATTTTATTAAATAATTATAAGTATAGTGTTTATACTTTGAAATATTACATATACCTGTATTTGATTCAGAGTGTTATTAAAGATGCTTACAAAGAAATCTTAAATAATGACCCATAAAAAAAACCCTCTTACATTAATTATTCAAATGTACATGAAGCCATTACATTGATTATTCAAATGTACATGAAGCCATTAGTAAATTTTGAAAAGAATTTATCATTAAGTACTGTTCACATGTTCGTCAGAAAGAACTATAATGATACAGTTGTTTTGATCTCTCTACCATGAAATAAAAACATCATAAAATTGTCAAGTACATGTACCAATAATACCCCTAAAACTTCATTTAAAAGATATTTTCATGAATTAGATTATTGGTGAAACTTTGTGGATTCTTTATTATTCATGGGATACCAATTTTTCTTGGATTTCATAGGTATAGGTGGACAAATAATTTAGGTGTTCAACAAAATACAAATTTCCTGCAAGTCTTTTTGCAAACTTTGGCAAATCAATGAAATCAACTATCCATGAAAAAAACTATTTTTCCTCCACAAAAATGGGAACCCTCAAAATAAATGAATTCACAGTAGCCCAGTTCTTCAGGAGTTGATCAAAATGTTTAAATCTATGTCACAATACTAATGTTGTATAAATATGTCAATCTATGGATATGCTTGAATTATCATCTTTTTTCAGAATATTTAAATTAATGCTTTTAGACATTGTAGCTCCCTAGTGGAATCAGTTAATATAATGATATTTTAGGTATTGGTTCATGACCTGGCTTCTGTTTCACAAAAAGTATGATTTTATTGCTACATGTAGTAATTAATTACATAATTATTAATAGAAAAACAGGATATGGGGCATTCATCCTATATAGTGTGTTAAGAATGTAAGACTCCTTCCTAGCTGTGAGATGCAGGTCAGAGTGATACTGAACAGCTAACAATTTAATGCAAGGCTGAAATGAATTTTCTGTACACTTACACAAGGAGAAGGAGCTACTTGCCCCTCCAAAGTACTTTTAAAGGTAATTTCCCTGGTTTTATGATGCTTAATTTAGCAGAACCTAGTAGAATACTTCACATTAATGCAGATCAGTTCTAAAGTAAAGGATTTCTATCTTTCAGTATGGAGATACAGCACTCCACACGGCAGCAAGGTATGGACATGCTGGTGTCACATGTATTTTGATCAGTTATACTAATGTAAAACATTTCTATCTTTCAGTATGGAGATACAGCCCTCCACACGGCAGCAAGGTATGGACATGCAGGTGTCACACGTATTTTGATCAGTGCCAGATGTAGGCTCAATGAACAGAACAAGGTATATACCTATCAGATGTATATTTTTTACCCAATTGAGATAGCAAGACTTACATGGAACATGTTTCTTTAGAATTGATATTGGTAAAAGAATTCAATTTGATTATTTATAAAAGGGAAAATATATAAGTAAGTGAAAACTATAAGTAAAAAGATGTGGTATGATTGCCAATGAGACAGCTATCCACCAGAGACTGAAAAGAGTGAGGAATTATACAACTAATGTACAGTAGAGCCATCAATGAGGAGCAAAACCTATACTTAACAATATTTTATGCCTCCGCCATGGTGGAGGGGGCATTAAGTGTTATCCTTGTCTGTCCGTACGTACGTATGTACATCCCAAAATTAGTTTATGTTCTCTAACTTTAGTTTGCCTCAACCAAATGATATGAAACTTGTACACAATGCTTATTAGTATTACCATAAAACACAGATCAAGTTCAAATTTGGGTTGTGTCACTTTTACCATTCTTGAGTTATTTTCCTTTATAACATTATATGCAAGTGGGGGCATCATCTGATTCCCCTGGACATATTCTCCATATATTTAATGATAAGATACCACTTTGTATTATGGCAAATGTTCCTTCATAATAGTTTTCACCACAAAGAAAATTTAAAGAAAAAGTTGCTGACCTGTACCTGTTTGGTTTCTTTTAAAATTCAGGGACTTAAATCATATTGATGTGGCCTAATAATCCGATTTAAAATTTGCTGCATATTTTATTTTAGAATGGTGACACTGCACTACATATCTCTTCTGCTTTGAAGAGGAAGAAGATCGCTAAACTGTTAGTGGAAGCTGGCATTGATATTTATATTGTCAACAAACAAGAGGAAACTGCCATTGATGTGGCTAAACGAAAAGATCACCCTGAAGTCATCATAACAATTACATCACTGTTAAAGGTACGATACGAGAATTAAGATTATGTGCATCATTACAGGAATTGAAACATATTCCTTTATATATATATATATTGGTTGCACCATAAGCTTTTTGACAAATTTTCAATATTTTTTACTTCTTTTTTATATATAATTTTACAGAAAATGATAATCTTGGTGATCAGTTATCCTTAGCAATTGTAAATAAAAGCAATAGTAGTATACCACTGTTTAAAAGTCATAAATCGATTAAGCGAAAACAAATCCGGGTTACAAACTAAAACCAAGGGAAACATATCAACTATAAGAGGAAACAAACAGAACAACAGAAACACTGAACTGCAACAAAAACAAATGCCAACATACATAGAAAAGGACTATTTGATAACAACCACCATATTCCTGACTTGGTACAGGATATTTTAAGAAAAAATGGTGGGTTGAACCTGGTTTTATGGCTAGCCAAACCTCCCGCTTATATGGCAATGTTAAAATTACCGCTAAAATGACAACACTACATGACAGGAATACAGTACAAATAAATGCAAGAACACTCAGGACAAAAGAAATACATAAATAAATAATATAATAGTACATTACAACATGTAAACCGCAGAATAACAACAGACACCTCCCATGTATTTACGACAGCACACCAGGACACCACAAACGAAGTATAAAATGATCGTCACATGAATGGATCAACACCACAAAAAGTGACTTATTTTTTGTGATGTTTATATTATCCTTTAACCTTTATTGTAACCTTTATTCATGTGAAATTTGTTACTGACATTGCTTAGATTAGGGAAATTACAATGGTCCTGCAAGTCCACTAGACTGCAAAACACAGGACCTGCAAGTCTACGACTTCAAAACACAGGACCTGCAAGTCCACTTGACTGCAAAACACAGGACCTGCAAGTCCACTTGACTGCAAAACACAGGATCTGCAAGTCCACTTGACTGCAAAACACAGGACCTGCAAGTCCACTTGACTGCAAAACACAGGACCTGCAAGTCCACTTGACTGCAAAACACAGGATCTGCAAGTCCACTTGACTGCAAAATACAGGATCTGCAAGTCCACTTGACTGAAAAACACAGGATTGATTTTGATATAAGATAAGAAGAATTGGTATGATTGTCAATGATACAACTCTCCACAAGAGACCAAATGAGATACAGGATTCATTTTGAGTCCACTGCATACATAGGATTCTGTAGAGCTCTCTTGACTGCAAAACATATAGTACAGACAACTGTCTCATGTTAAAGACTGTATGTTGCCCTTCATATGTCTTTTAGTGATTTGTGTTGCTGGGTTCTGTCCCATTGATGTATACCTAACATTTCTTTTCTGCAGAACCCTTTATGAAGTTTTACAGGTGGTTTATTGGGCCTTATATTTTTCAGACCAAAGCTCAGGTTCACCCATCACCGAAAATGGTAAATTTCAGTGAAATACCTGTGGATATAGATGGACCTGTTGTAGTCCCAGATGAAGACCTACCTGTACAAAAGACAGAAAAGGCAGAAAAAGGCAGCAAATTTTTCTCATTCTTGAAGAAAAAGAAAAAGGTAAACAAAATGTATATAAAGCTTCAGGATATTACGAGAAGTATGGTAATATGCAATGAGTAGACAGAAGTATGGTAATATGCAAATGAGTAGACAGTGTTATGGTAATATGCAAATGAGAAGACAGTGTTATGGTAATATGCAAATGAGTAGACAGAAGTATGGTAATATGCAAATGAGTAGACAGTGTTATGATCATTAAGCCAAATTAAACGATGCAGAAGAAAATTCAAATTGGTAAACTTAGTAACAGACAAGAAAGACGAGATAAAAACTTCACCGTAAAGGGTTCTTATATTTGAAGACTAAATGGTCAGGGCTCGACAGTACCATTTGTCCTATTGTCTGGGACAAGTAGACATAGGCGTCGGACAAGTAGAATCACCACATGAGTTGTCCGACGGGATGTTTATTAATAAACACCATGGATTCTTTATTATTTGTGGATACCAATTTTTGTGGATTTAATGGGTACAGGTGAACCACAAATTTAAATGTTTAATGAAGTACAAATTTTACATAGGCTTGTATGCAGATGTTTTTAAAACCATTTTATTTCTTGACGTAGCATTTAACCCTTATTTGTGAATCCTAGATGCATCACTTTGCCTGGAATAATCATCTAACCAAACGCTATTGGTAATTAGATCTGACACAATTTAGTCTAATAGTACATGTATCTGTAATAGAGTGTATAGTTATGTGATGGCAGGTATACTAATTGTGGCATTTTATCTTTTAAAAAATTGTCACAATGAAATTTTTTTTTATTAGTTTGATTATTTTCAGGAGAAAGATAAACCAGCTCCGCCAGGAAGCCAAGTCCACCCAGCTGAAGGTAAAGATGCTGTACATGGCTTCTTTAGTCAGTACATACCTAAGACTGGACAACAGTATTACAGAGATTTAGCTGGTAATATAAAGCAGGTTCGTGACTTAAATCACTCTCAGTATGATAGGCTAATTTGATAATTTAAATTCAGAAATTTGTGCGATGTTTTATTATTCTGAGGGATGAGTTTTGCAAAAAAAGTAAAATCTCTCTTTTTAGATGCTTACCATGGTTCCTTTGCTAGATGCCAATTATGTTACCTATATGCACTGAACAATAACGAGGTTGCATACTGTGGATTCATTATTATTCGTGGGATACTAATTTTAATGGGATACTAATTTTAATGGCTTTCGTGGGTTTAGAAATACTATAATGAAAAATGACAAAAAGACAACAACAGTCCACATAACACTACATAGAAAACTACTAAAGATTGAGCAACAACACAAACCGTGGGTGATCTCAGGTGCTCCAGAAGGGTAAGCAGATCCTGCTACACATTTGGCAGCCGTCATGTTGCTCATCATGGTAAGTACCAATTCAGTGATCAATCTCATTGGGTGATGTCACAATCAAGGAAAAGAGAAACCGCATACCGGTAATAATTTTAACATACAAAAATTCTTAAATAGAAAGTTAATTAGTACAGACAAGAAAACTTTTCTCAGGAATAAATATGCCCCAACTGAAATATACAAGAGAACTATAAAACACCTCGAGCTAAGGGAAACTTTTATGTCCTCTGCACAGTAGGAGTGTTTAGTGGGAACCAAGAGATATGGTGTATTAATTCTCTACTCAAAATCGCTACATGCACTTGACAAAAATAGCAGAATATTTACAGAGATGTTTTATACATGTAATATTCATTTCTTATTTGGTAGCTTATTGAAATTTTTTTGTTTTGTTTTCAACAGGGACCAATAGGATACACCCCAATTTGTCAGTGTATGCCTGCACTGCAACAGTTGGAGAAGCGAGTCGGTCAGGATAAGGAACATATCTATGAACATATTGATGCTTCTCATCAAATCCTGAAAAATCGTATGGATCAGTTAGATAAGAAAACTACTCAACAAATTATGACATTTGACAGGTGGTCCAGGGATAGATTTGACGAAGAAGAGAGAAATTGTTACAATAGGATAGACCAGCGTATAGCTGATCAACAGCATTATATGGCACATAAGAATCGTGGCGGTATGGATGTGGATGATTGGTTAGAGGCAAAATTGTCCAAGTATGGTCATTGTTTAGACCATCATCATGACGATACTGCTTTACCAAGTAATAATATTTTCACAGACATTCATCAGACTGAAAATGGCCGATTATTTCGCTCTCGATCAGATGAGACGCTTTCGCAGTCTGATAATCACAGTGGGAAATTTCGTAAGAGACAATTTTATGAATCACGTCAGCAAGCAATGCAGGAAATCAGGGCATGGCAACTCCCTCCTTATAGTAAAGACAGGGGTGCCAAGAATTACAATCCGGTTGTTGGACGTAGAGACAATTACGGTGTTCAGAACCCACAAACTCTCAATAGGAATGCTAATCAGCAAAGTGGGAGACAACATTTTGTTTCGCCTGTTACTAGTCATCAAAATGTACGATCATCTTCACGACCTGACTTCATATCACCGAGTACTGCTTCGACTAGTCGTAGTCCATACTTGTCACATGACCAAGTTTATGGTAATCAATACAGTGGCTATGATCAAGGTGCTATTCCAAAGAAACTTTCAACCTCACAAACTTTGCATGGAATGCATGAGCATCAAACATCAGTGCGTCAAGAATTAACCCCACGAACTCATAATACTGTGTTAAATCATAGAACTTCTGTGCAAAGAGACACTAGCCCAATAACTCATAACACTGTGTTAGGACTTAGAACTGCCGGGCATAGAGATGCTAGCCCACTAACTCATAGTACTCCAATGGTTCATAAAACTACAGCACAGAGGGATGCTAGCCCTCTCAATCATAGTACTCCTAAATCACGAGAATCTAGTCCCTTTCATTATCAGTATCTTCCTCATCAAAGAATGGTGAAAAGTAAAACTGAACCAGAAAATCTATCACCTAGACAAAATGAAAGTAGAACTATTCAAAGTGAAAGTAGGAAAGCACAAAGTGGGAGTAGAATTAACCAAAGTGGGTTAAGAAATATTCAAAATGACAGTAGACAAGTTCAGAATGACCGAACTATTTATAGTGACAGCCGGCAGATTTATCAACATCCCAGGAGTACACAACACGAAAACAAACACTCACAAAGGGAACAATTTGATAGACAAAATGAAGTGAGACGATCAAATATGGAGACTAGAACTCTACAGAATGAAAGTAGAAACAGTGAAACACGGCGGAGTTTTCCCGAAAGGGGGTCCTCAAACATAAGCATAGGTACTAATGTGACCTCCAATTCCTCCAGCACCGGACAGGGCCCCCTCACAGAGTCTGGTGCTGGAAAAGCAGTGGATAAGCCAACTTTCACAACATTTGGATATCCAGAGAGGGAAAAATTATACAATACTCAAGACAATACAAATTCGATCTCGAATAAGGGATATCCAAATGATTCGTCAGATTTACGCAGGTCAGGTATGTCAGTTCAACAGTCTGACTCCACATATGGTTACCATAGTGAAGTTATGAATAGACCTCAAAGCTCTGAAATACCATCACGGCATGATGGGAAACAAATTCCTGTGGAGAGAATGCCTCACATGGATAGGAGGAGTGTATATGACCAAAATAGTGTGAATAACTTAAAAAATAGTGCTATCAATTCTGTAAATAATGTTAATAGGGATGATATGTATTTATCCCAAGGTCATAGCAGTATGCAAATGAGTCGGCAGAGGTCAAGGTCAACTGATGGAATACTATTAGATGATACTGACCTGTCGTCAGCCCATCAGATGAAATTGAAAATGAAGGATCCGTCTTCCATGCAGAGATCTGGAACTCCTAGTTCTCCGCGAACTGGTCAAAATTATAGTGTGCCATTAGAGTCAATGAAGAGGTCGGCATCACAGTATGGGAATTCAAAGTCATATTCAAATGATAGAACTGATATGAAACCATATTCTAATGATCAAAACAATAAAAATTTACAAAGTGGTCAATATTATAGTTCTTCACAGGGAAATATAAACAGAAATCCTGTAAACTATTCTGTGTTGGGTTCAAAAGGACAGATTTACAATTCTACGAGAGATGTAGATGTGAATAGACAAAATAGTGGACAGACTGGTTATAATAGAGACAGGCCTACTTGGGCCGGTGATACTACAAATATGGAAAATCCTTATGGATCTGTTCAAAACTTTACTAGAAGGGTAAACGATGGGAGGACTCCAGTGTCTGTTCCATCAGGACAAACATATAATACATACAATCCTAACTTCCAAGGTCATGATAATGTCATGTATTCGGATCAAACGAATGTGTCAAAAATCGGCAGCAAATCTGAATCTCATCTTAATCAGGAACAACATATTCAGGGTCAGGAAGTTATTACACGAACTGATAGGAATTTACAATCTACGCCAATTCAAGACAAAAGTCGTGAGGACAATAGTAGCAATCCTGATTCTGGATATAGCAGTAAAATCTATGGACGTAATTTGAATTCTGGGAATGCTCCCAGTACAAGTTGTACGCCTTCATCTTCATTCAGTACTGAACCAACTGACCATAACATTACACTTTCTAGCAATAATTCACCGCATCCTCAAGTCAATCATAGTGATTATGCACAAATAAACTCCGTTCAACAGCAATATCAGAAAGATTTAAGCAGTCATGTGCAGCATTGGTACCAACGCAAGTTAAAAGACGCAGCAAAAAATTTAAATGATGGTGAATATGGTTACCATAGTGACTACCATTCACTATCTAATGGCATTCAGAATTCAAATGACTTTAGCCAGTATGAGTATGCTCAGCAGTCACGGCAACCACTTTACCATGGAAACCAAACATATTCATCCTATCATCAGGTGCCAAACTATATTAGGGGTAGTGATGTTTAAGCTTTTTTGTTAAGACAAATACTTGTATATCATTAAAAGTGGATAAGTGAGAGCGCAATTTTGAATGTTGATACATTACAGTTAAAAATACCATTTAAACTTTACTTGCTAAACTTTTAAAACTTTTTTTTTTATTTTTAAGTTTTTCTTATTGAGAATTAACATAAATCAAACATTTTCCCACAAAAAAACATATTGCATGTATCTACAAGAACAAGGCAATAGTATTCCAAATTTCATATTTTACAGATACAAAACAATTAATATTACAATTTCTTATCTTGTTTAGTTGAGTTGTAATTGTGTTAGCTAATGAAGTCCTTAATTTTACAAATACAACAGATATTAAAATATGATCTTTGGTGGAAAAAAAAATAAGAAATTATTCATTCAATATTTTATATGAAATACAACTCTTGAAAATGTGTTGAAATGCATTTTATTTGTCCTGAAAAATTTCTATTATACACATTCTTTACTTCAACCAAAAATGCATGTATTGGAAGAAACAAAAAAAAAATTTTTTCTATAGAACAAAATTAGTATCTTATTTATCTTAAATATACTTCCTTCTTCCATGGATCAAAAATGAGTAATTCTATAATAAAACAGTCTGACTAGAAGAATCTTATAAAAAATATTAAGAACTGGCTAAAATTTAACAGTTCAAAGACCTATAGACACTGTAGATGAGAACATATTCACTCTTTTGTCCTGTAGTCTTATTACGGTAATAGAAAAGTTGCCTAATTTTCAATCAAGCCATATGGCCTTAAATATACATCAGTTTATAAAAAGATTTGATATTTGAATTTTGGATTAGTTTTTCTTCTTATGTCATTGACTTTATAAAGTAGAAAATATAAGGAACTATGCAATATCTTTTTCGATGCATTCTTATTTATTTTCTATTCAACTTCGTTGACAAACACCTATTGTTGAGGGGCGGAAGGACTTTTTTCAAGACATTGAGAAAGAGTCTGTATTTTTGTGGGAATTCAGGATTAACACCTATCAGGGCTATAGAATTAATTATTAAATTTTTCAGGATCAGTAAAAAGGTTTTATTTTTTCTGGAAATTGTGATTCAGCTTTTTTTTTTTTTGGGGGGGGGGGGGGGGGGGGAGGGGGGGAACTCGGGATGACACCACCTCATTGTAGTCTGAAGTCAGAGTCAGAGACAAAAGAGTGAATATACAGGATTCATTTCACATGTAGAATATCAGTGTTTATTTTAATGGGAAATTATTGTACAATGTATTTCTTTTGCAACACATCGACACTGTAATAATTAAGAACAATTATACGTAAAAACTATGCAATTTTCATTATATTATTCAGGGAGCATATGCCTATGATATAAGGTATTTGTAGTAGAAGTATACCAATTATAAGTTAAAAATCAGAAATCATAATGATATGATTTTTTTCATTTGCATGTCAGTAGTATAAAATGTACTGATATCAATAAAAAAAAAGAAAACAGTTGATGAAATGGGGGACAAGGAGAAAGAGGGGGGGGGGGGGGGGGGGTTACTCTCATATCCTGAAAAAGCTTTCGATTAAATATGAGTTGTGCAATCTCCATGGAATCTGGTCTGACCGTTTTCAGTAGATAATTACAAAATTATTGAAATTTCTGGGCCAATTCAAGCTAGGATACAGGCTTCCTGGTCTCCTAGGACTCAATGCAATACACCTTATGTATACTTCCTTTTAGTGTTAAAATTTAATGTTGATGACAGCTGTTTGTAGATACATTCCAAAGACAAAGTTGTTAATATGATCTCTTCCTTTGTAAGAATTCCACAATTTTATATACTTTATATTTTTTAATTTCATATTTATTTTGTAAATACAGAACTATATATATATTTAATTGTATATTATGATTTTATTTGTAGATAAGTCTTAATTGAATTTGTACATAATGGACTTAATTCTTATTTCAGAATTTCTTTACTTTTGTATGGTTCATTGTTTATATATAATTATAGTAAGATATCATGGACATATTGAAATATTATTGGATAAATCATTCTGTTATCTTGGTTACTGTATTTTTGTAAGAAACTTGAATCTTTTTTATGTTAATGGATTTCTAAGCAGTAACTGACAGCATAGATATTTTAATGCTGATGATTCATTTTTCTTCTTTCTATACTTACGTTTTCGTGGATTTCCTTGCATTGGTTATCCATATGCATTTATTTAAGTCTTCTACAAAATACAAATAGTCTGTAGGCTTGTATGCAAAATTTGTCAAAACTAGGAAATCAAATAACTTACAAAAAAATCCAGAACATTTTTTTTCTCAATTCACAGAGATTGAAAACTCAATCCGATTAAAATCTGGTGTTATGATACTAAGCTCTACCTAGAGTTAGGGTGGAGAGTATACATGATGAAAACAGCTGATTTTAATGAGATTTTTTTGGAAACTATAAAAGTGAACAAATCCACTATGACGTCATTGTTTTATCCCAGTTGGCCATGTAGATGATTTTTGTGAAATCCATTTTTTTTCTTCAGTTTTTAGATTAATAAATTTGTTATTTTTTTGTATTGCATGTCCATCATTTTGATGCCAGTTAATTGAAAGTATTACTGTTAATTCAGAAACGAATATGTGCATTTATTTTTGAAATCACTGATTACTGGTAAAAATGTGAGATCTTAATAATACCATTATAAAATTTTGTCTAGGAAAATAGCTATTGAAATTATGAATGCTAAGTGTTTTTGTGAACCCTAATTCTGTCGCAATTTTCGCATTAATAAAAACATTGCAGTTATTTCTGAATTTATAGTAGTTAAAAAAAACTGTTTTCATTTCCTGTGAAGATGATTATATCTCAAATTGAAATAAGTCATTTTGTTGGAAGGGAGAAGTGGTGGTGTAAAAGTTCCTTTCTACTCTCCCACTTCCATTTCAAATTAATGCCAAATTTTCTTAGATAATTCCATAAAATTATTACGAGTAAAGGGCCGAATTTTGGTAAAAATTTTAAGGAGTTACAGATAATATTCATTTTCTTTACCAATTTTTCACATAATGGACATGGTCTATGTAACTCTGGTAGATTGAATATTTTTCTACTCTTAAGTTCTGGTCCGGTTTTTTCAGTTGTAATTTCATCATATGTGTAATATGCAATAATTCAGAGCATAATTATATCAAACTATGTACATTAATGATTAGCATTCCATCCACCCGTATTCATATAAATACATACATAAACAAAATTGTTATTTTTATTATTATTATTATTATAAAATTTAAAATAATGAAATTAAAAGTATATGAATTTAGTTATGTTGAATTTCTTTTTTAATTAGAGGTGAGATTTTACCTCAAGTGAAAAAGTCGAGAACCATAACAGTTGTTGTCTTATGTGATATCCTAATATTTTTTGTTTGTTTGCTTGATAGAGAAATTGGTGTTGACGGTAGCTCTTTAATACTGTGGATTCATTAATATTCGTTGGATACGAATTTTCGTGGATTTCGTGGGTAAAGGGGAACCACGAATTTAAATGTTCAACGAATTACAAATTTCCTTAAGGAAATATGCAGACTTTGCCGAAACCACGAAATTAGATATCCACGAAAATGCAAGTTTTCTTCAATCCACGAAAATTGGTACCCACGAAAATAAATGAATCCACATTAGTCTGTTTAATTTGAAATACACATAAAAAATGTTATCAAAAATGAAGCCTGGTAACCAACAAAGTCATAATGGACAGACGGGACAAGTCATAACCTGTTCAACTTAGGGTATAAAAAGATAAGTTGTGTATAATACAATGAGACCATTTCAGAGATGTTGGATAAGTACGCAAGACCATTTATTAGATGTTTGATCAAAATCAGGAGACCATTACAGGGGTGGTGTTGGAAAAGAGTCAGTAAGACCAATATCTTTTTATTTCATTAAATTTAATGAAATAAACAGTTTTGTGTTTCTGTAAAAAGGTATAGAATCTACTTGTTTTTCAAATGTTCAACTGTAATTGTTGAAAAAACTGCTTACAAATAACTTGTAAAACTCATTTTTATCCCACTGTAACAAATAGTAAAATCTTTGGTGTATGGGAGGTAACTCTTGATATCCATTTTATATGAAAAACGGTTTCTAAGAATAACTGGTGCACAGAAATGTACAATAAATGCATCTCAACTTGAATGCACTCAGTGATATAAACATATTCACTATCATTGACTTCAAACATTATTTTCATAAGTTATCCTTGTTACAAGCTTGTGTCCATACTCAAAGACAGCGACAAACAAACTGGTGACAAGGTAATCAGAAATTTTAGTCACCAGTTACATACATATTATAAAATAGAGTTGTTCCCCCTTTGCCACCAAACATGATTGTAAAGGCTAAAGAATTGTTCTGACATTGTAACTCCCTTTAAAATTCTGATCAGACCACATATGCAAGTCTAGCATAAAATAGGGCTCATATTTTCAACATATCAACATATTACATGTATTTATATTGTTGTTGCTTGGAAGATGACCTGCTGGTATTCCTCAATCACTTTATTTTTCTGTTACTCAAAGGAGAAAACAAGGAATTCAACATAGCTCATGATTTCCTTCGATCTTCTTAGATATTATGTAAAGAACATACAATAAATGCAGTATTTATACAGGAAAACTACTTCACTCTATAATTTAACCTCACATAAATAATTACAAAATAAATCTTTCGATAATTTATTTGATCCAGACAGTGAGAGTTCAAATAACATCTTATTCGAGTCATGTAAGTGCCATACATAAAATGTACAATTTTGTATGGAGTAAAAAAATCTACACAAAACTTCATTGAGAAAAAATTTTGCACACAAAGTCACAGATAAGCATCCTGTTCATATTTAAGATTATTTTTTCAATATAATGATTTTAATTTTGTGTATTCAAAAACACAAAATGGCATCTTGCTTATTTCACATCAAATAATTTTTTTATGTATAAATATATCACAGTTCATTTTGTTCTACACTACAATCTCTGTATCAAGATGGCTGAAGCTCCACCTCCTCCATTACAAATAGCTGCCATTCCAAATTTCCCTGGTAACAAGTTGTGTACCATGTGACCTGTAATACGCGCTCCTGACATTCTGAAAAAAAAAATATTTTCAATATTGATACACCAAAGTGTAGAGTAAAATGCAGCAACCTAAAACACAAACCACCATAGAATTCCTAAATAGATGTTCATAACAATAGACAGTTTATATTAAAAAAATATTTCAATCTCTTAATAAGTTCCAAAGTCTAAATAGTACTAGGAGCTGCCACATCTATATCAAGGTGGTTGAGATGTGAAATTATAATGATTCTAAATGTTCCAGTTTTAACAGATTTCTTGGTTAAATCCAAAAAAAAAAACCTGAAATATTGTTAACCTATTAGTAGTTGAATCATGACATTGAATTGCTCAAAAACATACTCTTTTAGGACATTTCATTTTTTAGCTTTTCTTTTTTCAAGACATAAGAGAGACGAAAAGTGGTACAAGCATTGCATATATTTCTAAAATTCTAATGGGAGTGAAAGATGAAATTATGTAGAAATTAATAAATTAAAAAAACAAATGTTTATTATTTTTTTTTTCTTTCAAATATAACAAACTAAAAAAAAAAACATGAAAATTTAAGCAATTTATGTACCAGAGGACTTTGTGAAATTTAAATAAAAAGTATATAACTTTTGTGGCATTGAAAAGAAATGCAGGTATTTTCTATGTTGATTAAGAAATGATACTCCTCCAGGAAAATATAAATAACAGTAAGTGCACAAAGAATGTTTAGTGAAAAGAACACTGAGCATTTCTGTAGTTATATTTTCTTAAACAGAAAATCTGGAAATATATACTGTATAAGCAAAAATTGCTTGTTGCTTGAATTTGTCTGTTCTCCTTGTCTTGATTTTTGTGGTGACATCATATTGTGATAAAAAAATCAGTTGTTGAGTTCTTTAAGTACTAAGAAAACTGTAACCTACCCTATAGGATGTCCTATACTGACAGCTCCACCATGGATGTTTACTTTGTTCATATCCAACCCTAATTCTTTAACGTTTGCAAGCACAACGTTACTAAAAGCTTCATTGATTTCCCACATGTCAATTTCATCTTTTGTCAAACCTGCTTGCTTTAATACCTACAATAATAATTGTCCTTATTATTTACAAAACTCTTTATACAAAAATCATATAATTCATAGATTTTTTAACATATATTTGATATCAGATTTTCTAAAGAATTTGTAGTTGAAAACATCTTCTAACAATTTTGTAAAAATAGTGATCTTACAAAGAAGCCATTTTCTTCCACATGTCTGTTTTGGTTTAATGTATGTGAATTGTCCATTTCAGAATCTAATGAACAACAGTGTGGTTTGTTATAACATCTTCTCTAATTCTAAGCTGATTTATAATTTCTTAAACAGTTTTACACCATAATTCAAAGTATGCTTTAAAAAAGCAAAAAAGTGTAAAGTAATTTTTCTGATACAAATAAAAACTGAATTGCTGTGCACACTTTAATACATACAAAGCAAATATAAAGTTGATATACACATAGGGACACTTCTACAATTGTAAATCAAGGGTGATAACTCTGTTTACTGTAGAAACAGCATAAATAGGTGCTATGCACATAGGGGTGTCTACAATTGTAAATCAAGGGGGATAACTCTGTTTACTCAAATTACTGTATAAACAGCATAAGCAGGTGCTAAATACATAGGGAATCTTCAATTGTGAATCAAGGGAAATAACTCTGTTTGCTATAGAAACAGCATAAGCAGGTGCCTTACACATTGGGACGTTTCCAAATGTAAATCAAGAGGGATAATTCTGTTTGCTGTAGAAACAACATGAGCATGTGCTATACACATAGAGACATCTACAATATTACAAAATTGTAACTCAAGGGAGATAACCTTAGTGTAGAAACAACAAAAGCAGGAGCTATACAAATAGAAAAGTCTACAATTGTAAATCAAAGGAGATAACTCTGATTACCTTAGGAACAGCGTAAGCAGGTGCTGTGGGGAAGTCTATAGGTGCAATGGCTGCATCTGCAAAAGCTGAAAAAAAAAAAGATATCCGAATCATTGTAGCAAACATTCATATTTCCGTTGTCCAGAAAAAATAACCACCTTTTAAGATAACTTTACTTGAAAAGCAGGGTAGGTATGTTGGTAAAATAACAATATTAACAAAAAAACTTAATATAAACTAGTGATGAATGCAGAGGGGGAATGTATAACATTTTATACATTGTTGTCTTTGATATATGCTATTTTTTCAAAGCCTACACTTTTTAAATACCGGTATATATATTCATTATTGAAGACGTAAAAACCACATTCTAATGCACTATTGTTTGTAACGTTCATTTTGATTGGATAACGTCACCAATTTTCATGGCATCAATTTACAATTGATGCTATGAAAATGTACGCGCAAGCGCAGACGATGTATGACAGATTTAAAATGTATGATTTGACGTTGTTTTCTGTCATATTCATTAGAATGGAGATAACAATATTGTATTTTAAACTCCGACCGCATCAATTGGTGATTTGATGGTCGCAAATATACGTTAACAGGCTCCGCTATCGCGTCACCAGTAAACTTAATTTCCGACCATCAAATCACCAATTGATGCCGTTGGAGCTTAAAAGACAATACAGTTATCTCCTAAGTGTATCAAACGTATCTAGTGAAACTGACATTACACAACAAGTTTTGACCCTGGTGTGAGGCTAATTAACAAGTGATAAAGTTTTAATTAAACAATCAAGAGGTGATAGGATATTGCTCGATATGGCTTCTTTTAATGCCACATATCAAGGTTGATTAAAGGTAAATACAAGCATTGCTACAAAAGTGGAATGTTGTTGTCAAATCATTGATCAGAAGGTTTTGATGCCAAAAACAAACCATTTAATAAACTTTCAATTGAACAAAATAATGCTCACTATTTCACACTCCAATGCTGACATTAAGAGGACCTTCAGAATGCTTAAGAAGATCCAAACTGTTACTGAACACATGGACAACCATGACTCATAGACAATTCACTGCCCCCTAAGTGTTAAACAACTACACACCAAGTGTAGTAAAGACAGCCAAATCAGCTTGTATTTCTTACATGATCCAGTGATCCAAGACCAGTGTTTTAGTTATTAAATAACAATGTCAATTTAATATAAACAAAGCTTTAGCTAAAATATTTTGACAGTGTTTGAAACAATGACAATGTTTATGACAGTTTTCTAGCAAAATGAGATAATGCACAACTATTGTTATTGTTTGTAAATTTTTCATCCATTATTTTATAAATGTATAACATATTTCTTTCTTATATATGTAGGCCAATGACATTGAATACAAATTAAAAAGGAAGGAAGTATGAATAAAAACAATATGCTTTAATTTTCTCATTGTACTCAAAGGAAAGGTTAAATCATAGTACTTTATTCACAAGCAGTCAACAATCAATAATGAAAAACAAAAACAAAAACATAATCTTTTCAATTATTCTTACAACTGATATCATTTAAAAGACATACTACAAGAGTACTGTAAACACATTGATATGTTACATTCAGAAGGAAGATCGAAGAAAAACACACAAAAAGACGATTCTTACTTAAGATGCTTACATTTAGGACCAAAGAAATGTCGATATAAAACCTCCTGATCTTAAGTCTAAACTCCTTACCAAAATTTCCCAATCTTTTCATCTGAGTTTCACAGTCTATCACATGTTTGCCCAATGCAAATGTCCTAAAAGAGTTCATTTAATTATTTTAAACAGTTACATTGTGTTGCTTCAAAGCAACCACTTCTTACAATCCTTACCAATGATTTTAGCCAGTGGTGTAACATTCAACTTCTTTGCTGCACTAGCTGTCATCAAAACCAGGGCGGCAGCACCATCATTCAGGGTACTAGCATTTGCAGCAGTTACAGTTCCTGAAAAATAAGTAATCACAAGATTAGAGTCATCACTGGAGCGTGGTTATTCTTCCCCTTACATTGCAAGAAGTTATAAATATTTCTTCTGAATAGATATGATGATGAATCCCTGATAATTGTACATAAGTAAGCCATAAGAAAACTTTCATTTAAAAATCTGCAAATTTTCTATGTTAATAACAACAGGTAATATAACTTAACTAACATACACAGTATCCGTTTACTGACCGTCAGAAAGTAAAAATAAATCACTATTTTCACATGAACACTCTTCCTTGCTTAGTTTCCTTGTGGTCCTGGATTGTTGTTTTCTAACATCTAAGGAACATGAGGACTGTAGTTGAAGAGTTACTGCCGTCAATTGGCAATTTGAGTACAAAGAAAAAACTAAAGCATATTGTTTTTATTCATACTTCCATCCTTTTTTATTTGTATTCAATGTCATTGGTATATAAACCCAAAATGCAGGTTAAGCTCTTAATCTCTTGGCTTTATTATAATGTTGGGTTTCTGTTTGACCTGAATTGCCCATCTCCTGGAATTTGTATTCATTTGTTTAAAAAGCTGTCTTCTAAATTTGTGTAATAATCAACTAGCCTGTAAAAGGATTAAAATACAAACCATCTTTCTGAAATACTGTCCTGAGAGTTTTAAATTTATCAAAGTTGACTTTTTTGTACTCTTCGTCTTCTGTAATAACAACAGGATCTCCTGGAATTATAAAAATTGTAGATGATGTGTCTGAAAGACATAAGTGCCCTACTCATTGAAAATTTATAATGTTAACTTCAGATTTCAGACATATCATTTTATCGAGAAGCTTGGTGGACAAGAAAAAGTTTCTATAGCACTATTGCATATTTGTAAGTTACATTACTGCAGATTTTTTAGAAAGATGAGCAATTCCACAGTGCATTAAATAGCTTTATAGAGGTCAATGTCGGTTGGTCACTAATTTGCATAATTACTTCTTTTAAATTGCAACTTAATATTTATATTTTTTTGAAACAGAAGAAATTACCTAAGAAAAAAAATATTGTAGTTTCTCAGTAAACCTGGGACCATTGGATAAAGAGACTTGAAACTAAGTCTTTTTTTATCTCCTGAAATTTACATTTAATTTTTTGTTTAATGCAGTGTAAATCAGAAGTTATATGGTAAATGATTAAAATCTATTATCTGTATTCAATTTTATTAAAGAAATGCACATTTAATATTAATGTTAACCATCCATTACACATGAAGACAGAGACCACCTAATGACACTGACCTATATAGATCAAACATCTATCTGATACTAATGAGGTCAAGTTATTGTGTATTGAGTGGTCTGTCATGTTATGTATACACTCAATAGTTATGTAATTTGGTCTAAATACAATTCCAATTATTGCTCCACCCTTTTGGTAATTGTTCTTTGGTCATGACAGTTGTCAATCATACTGATATTGTATCAATACTCTTACTTAATCAAAAAGACAAAAACTAGCCAGTAAATTGAAAAAAGTAATGACTATTATTCTTGAAAATATGCTCTAAATTAAGATGTAACCAAATTTTTTACAGTCCAATTGTGCATATGTACACAGACACGAGAACAATTGGGAACTATATGTCAGTGTATATAGATTTAGTTACTGAATAAGTAGCAAATCTGTCTACTTTCTGTTTGGGAGGCCAGTGCCTTAGGAAAGAGTTGGAACATGTTCCAATATTTCCAAAAAAATGAATAACAGTTATGATCACTAAAATTAATGATTTAAAAGATAAAGTTTGGGAAATTTTCATTATTCTAATTTTTGACTGGACTGTAAATAATTAGTTAAATGGACTAGATTTCCACTGCAGCCTTATACCTTAGGATGACCCTCAAAAGTTAATGAAACTTATTTCCAGTGGGGTCCTTTTAAATGGCATTAGCTACGAGATATGAAAAAAAATAGAATATGATTAAGTTTGGTTCAATCATTAATGAAAGTGAAATGATGAAATAATAATTTGCTTTTATCAGCCTATTTGGTTCAATTTTGTCAAAATAAGCAAAGAAACATCACTGATGAATTATTCACTTGCAAGTAAATAATTCGACCTCATTGAATCCGTATTCATGTGACCTTCAATTTAACCCATTAGCTAGAGATTGGTTACGCATGCATTAGTTGTGTTCAGCCATTAAAAGGGAAAGAATGTCAACATTGAAAGTGAAACAAAGGTGAACCATTTCGTTGACTCATTCGATCCCCAAAAAACATTCTTATACAGGTAAAAACTACAATTAACTTATTTTTTTAACCTATAACATGAAATCAAACAGACATAGAAAAATCCAATTGCACGAGGTCGCTATCTATCTATATTTATGTTTATATCGGGTTATGTGACCGTCAGCAGTCTCTGGAGGTCATCTCAATAGTTAATTAGATGGCGTCTAGGCTAAAATACACACGAAATTCTGATATATATAATCGAGTACATGCATTGTTAACTGTTTATTTCAGACTTATAGTAATTTGGATATACGTTTTAATATGTTATAAATCAAATAAGAGAATTTGAGTCAAATCAGTGATCATGATTTTGACAGCTAATGCCCCATTAAGAAGTTAACTTTGCAATTCCAAGATCCCCTACAGTGCACTCACCACACCACACAACAATGACACACAGAGATCCATATTACTTTAACATTATCAAAAATAACTTCAGCATGAAACCTTTGTGCATCTTTTGAAAAAGAACCTTTCTAACCATACATGTAATGACATTATAAATAATATAAATAAACACAAAAATTCTTTTGGAAGTAAAAGCGAGGAGCAGAAATCCTCTTATTTTAGCTGATCTTTTATTCTTTAAGTTTACTGTAAAATAAGAAATTTGAAAAGATCTTTTTTTGCTTTTTTTGCAAAAACTGTGTAGGGATTGGTTTCACAAATAAAACAACTTACATTTTAAATTATAAATGCGTTTTTTGTATGTTGAATTAGATTATAAAATAATGAAATAGTAATAATTAATCTTGTATTTTTGTCAAATTTCTTTTGCTTTATGTTTGGTAAGTTATATTTGATTTTTTTTTCTGAACTTGCTAAAATATTTTGTATTTATCCCTTGTTTCACAAAATAAATATATTTTTTTTCTTTAATTTAAGCATTTCATTTCTTTCTCTTTTTTCTTTTATTTCATCATGTTTTTTTTTACATTTTTATTTGTTAAATTACTTTCAATACCATAAGGTAATAAATAATATCAAATGCCGAAAAAGGTCAACCAGGCCCAACCGTACAAGACCTGCATGGGTAGGGTAGTCAAGGTTGTGAACAACCCTGTAGTAGTGTTTTTGTCCGTTGTTCAGCAATGACACTAATGAAAGTACCCAAAAATTTCTAAATTAATACTACTGTAGTGATTGCTAACCTTTCTTTCTTGTTATTTCTACAGGTGTAATCTCTTTTCCAAACAAGCCACTAGCTGCCGCCTGCTGACTCAGTTTGTAACTTCTGATAGCATACTCATCCTGCTCGTCACGAGATATATTATATTTCTTTGCTGTGTTCTCAGCACATACTCCCTACAAACACAAATAGTCTATAATAAGTCTTTTATACAATCATTTTACTAACACTTTTCATAATTCTTTGTAAGGCTTTCATGGTACTTTTTTTCTTAACAATCTAAATTTCATGGCACTGTTTTCTACATAATACTAAATTCATGGCATTATTTTGTAAACAATCTATATTAGAAAGTTTTGAAAAGACAAAACAAATTTAGAAGTATTGTATTATTTATAAATTGTCTGGATTTGGTGTATTATAAATCCTGTTGACTCTCCCAGATGGTCCCGTCAATCAATTAAAATTTATTAGGTTAATCTATTTCAAAGTTTCAGTATGGCATGTTTCTTGTCTGTATTCAGATTATTGGACACCTCAGTAATGTGTTTGCTATTTTTTTATTTACCGAAATTAAATTGATAGATTGGTTGGTATTTGCTATATTGATGCGATAGCTAATTCAAATATTTTTACAAAGGTAATTTTAAAAATCAGACAAAGGTCCATCAATATACTAAAACATTATCAAAGTGCCATAACTCTAGCAGATCTAAGTTGAACAATTATAAAATCAGACCTCTTGATGGCATGTAATTATGTCAAATTTAAGATTAATCCTTGACAAACAGACAGAGATTTTATATTCACAAGTTTTTGTAGTGAATGAATGATAAAACAAAACCAACATAATTAGTTACATGATTTTCAAAAATGTTCACAATATTTACCATGTGGATGTGATCATAAGCATCTGTTAAACCATCAAAGACAATCCCATCCTGAAATGACAAAATATAAATTATATACTGTAAATTCAGAAACTATTGCAAGGTTTTTATTAATGTGAATAATGCGAATAATGTGGTTGGGTGAGTATCGCAATAATAAGATATGTATGCAGCTTTTCCGGAAATGGCAATAATTAATCTCCCATTTGTGTCCATTCTCAATAATTTTATATTTTGAAGTAATTAAATTAATCATTGACAAGCATGCCACATCTAGTTATTTCTAAAATGACAGTAGAATATTTAACAACAGACATTTAAGTAACCTAAACCTGTTGTTTCTAGATACAGGGTTTACCACAGGCTATATAAGGGTGGTGCTCCTCCAGCAGTAACCTAAACTTTGTTTTTTAGATAAAATGAATAAAGTTTGGTTTCGAACCCCTCTCTAAGCTCATTAAAAACCATTGTTATACATGAGATCAACATACATTTATTTCGATTTTATTAGAACTGAAAAAGGTGTGATTAACTGGTTAACATTTTTGGTATTTGATATTAGGTTCTTCCAATGTTTAATTGGTTATCCATTGTCAACACTAGCATTAAGTATATAATCATGACTTAGTGGAAACAGAACACACAATACCAGTGATATTACCAGTATTTTCATTAAAAGATATGAGGCTTTTCAAGCTAAAGGGTTCTTGCGTTCTAAGTCCCTGTCCACTTCCTGAATTAACGCTGATGACTTTGTGTTTATCAAAACAATAACAGACTACTGTGGATTCATTTATTTTCGTGGGTACCAATATTCCTGGACTGAGGAAAATTGTTCTTTCTCTGATATTTGATTTCATGGTATAGCGAATATCTCCATACAAGCCTAGCGAAAATGTATACTTCGTAGAACATTAAAATTCGCGGTTGACCTATACCCACGATTTCCACGAAATTTGGTATTCCACAAATTATAATAAATCCACAATATTCAATCTAATGTCACATACCTTGAGTTCTACTTTACCGTAAGGTGTTTGTCCCCTGGACATGTAGTACGGGACATTTGACATACTTTCCATCCCTCCTGCTACCATAACTTCCTAAAATCATTAGAAGAAACAAGCTAACATTAACACATTTATCCTGATATTTTACTATACAAAAAGTTATTTGATATTCATCCAGTATACAAAATTGTCAACTCCAATGACATTCTGATTCTATTTTTAGTGAACGAACTGTAATATCAAAATTTCTGTTTTATTTCAAACAGGTCATTTTGTTGTCTTTTTGTGGTTCATATTTAAGCAATGCTGATTTTTCTTTAAGAATTATAGACAAAGATAAAGAATTAGAAACTGAACACTTGAGAGATGGATATATACCCTGCCATGTCCTGTCTATGTTTTTGTTTGATGTTTTTCTTTGTATCGATCTGATGAGTTAAGCCTTTTTCAACTGACTTTTATATTTAGTTCTTTTTTTTAAAATGTTGTACTGTTACACCCACTAACATGTTTAATCCCGCCACATTCTTTAAGTGCCTGTCCCAAGTCAGGAGCCTGTAGTTCAGTGGTTGCTGTTGGTTCATGACTGTCATATAATTGTTTTTTGTAAATTGTTTTGTTATAAGTTAGGCTGTTAGTTTGTTTCATATTTTTCAAGTCAGGGCCTTTAATAGCTGACTATACAGTATTGGTTTTTCTCATTGTTGAAGGCCGTACGGTTGCCTTTAATAGCTTACACCCATTTTATTTGAACTTTGGTGATAGTTGTCTCATTGGCAATCATACTATATCCCTTTTATTGTATACTAAGGTCTCTTTAGTCTTTGTTAAATTGCTGGATAAAAACAATATGTATCCATTTTCAGAAAAATATAGGCATTTATCTGTAATCACTATGGAACAGGAAAATAGCTCTTGGAGCCTCACTTTTCTTCCTATTTCCTAAAGCTTGTACAAATAAATTCTATATTTTAGACAATCAGTGCACTTATAGCATGACCTTGATGGTAACATACTCACCTTAATAGATAGAAATGGAGTTAGAATTAGAGTTTGACATATAGCATTCACCCCCTTTCTACTGTTGAAGACTGGATGTTGTCCCCTAGGAGTCTTTTGGTGTTTTTTGTTGTTGGGATCCTGTCTCATTGACATATATCCTGCATCACCTTTTATTCACCTCTCTGAAGGCAGTGATTTACCAAAATGCTTACAAGAAGATATGTACATAATGGTGTTGAATTCAATTCAAAGGATATTTTCTCAATTCAGTTATGGATATAAAAAATGTGAAAGCAAGACCTCATTTTAAAAAGATTTTTCTCAATTCAAAATAAGGATGATGATGATGGATGGCTACTTAAAGTCCAGTGGCAAATTAATATGCATATTCAGGACGAAAACATGTAAATGTAATATGAATATTAACCCTGCTTTGTACTAGACCTACACGCTTAGCTAGATTTTGAACATGCTAATTCACAAGGTAACAGTTTGCAGAAAGACATGTAACCTTAACGGATACATTATTCTGACTCTGAACCACCAGTCATTGCTCTTACTTAATGCTGCGTGCTTAGCGGAGAAGCAGAAAATATCCATTTTAAAGTCTTTGGTTTGACCAGTATGGGGTCTGACCCATGAACTCCTGCACTCGAGTCAAACATGCTACAATGAGACCACAGAGGCTGTTAAAAATAACAAAGATGCGAGTATGATTGCCAATGAGACAACTATCTACCCACTAAACTATACCCCAAACCTCTTTACCTGGTGTCCACACATGAGTGACTGTGCTGCCATCATTATAGATTTCATCCCTGAGGCACAAACTTTATTTACAGTTGTTGTTGGTGTGGTGATGGGCAAACCTACAATAAAACCAGAACTTCACTTGTAATTGGATTAAGTAATTGCTGGTAGTTTTTGGTAGTTGCAGTAGTTTTCCACTGTTGTCAAATATTTTAGGTAATTGTGTAATCTTGTTTGTATTCTATTAAAGAACTTTTAAGTCTAATACACTCTTCTAATGCCTTCTTTTACTTTAGGTGTCCGTAACCTTATAGACTTACACTAAACTAAGGATAACCCAAAACCTAACACTTAAACCAAAACGTAAGTAAGAAAAATTCCTAACCTAACTATAACCATAATTGAACCCTAACCCTAAAGTATAGACACTCCTAAAGTAAAAGAAGGTATACTGTGGATTCATTTAATTTTGTGGGTATCAATTTTCGTGGATTGAGGAAAACTTTTTCATGGTTTCGGCAAAGTCTGCATTCACGCCTTTAGAAATTTGAAATTCATTGAACATTTAAGTTCATGGTTCCCCTGTACCAACGAAATCCATGAAAATTGGTATCCAATGAATATTAATGAATCCACAGTAATCAACATGAAACAAATAATATCCTTGCAAACAGACAACTTAAAGGGAAAATTCGCGATTTTATACTTTTCATCTTATTATGTTCATAATACCATAAAAAACATATTTACCAAGTTTTATCTGGATATGAACACTAATAAAGAAGAAAATTGGGAATTAATAATTTAATTTATTCCAACTTCCTGACTTATGTGACGTAGTTTAAGTCTTTTTGCATGTCGGGAGTGAATAAATCTCATTGTAAGTCTTGTTCGTTAATCATCTAATAACGCGATTTAAAGCGCATCGACGACTTTTGGCGTAGCTATTAACCAACTAATAATTAAGAATGTAAAGTGATCAACCGTGCAACTTTCAAAATTAAAATGTACGATTTATATTTAAAGGATTTCTGATATGATTATAATAATAAAAGTAAATCATACAATAGAATATATTTTTATGAATTTTTTTTCCGACGGACATTTTGAACAAACATATATAACTGATATTGTTTTACAAATGCAGGTTTGTATTCTCACCTGAAGGCTTTTACTTCAGTCTCGCAAACATTTCCCACTAGTACTGTGTAAATACAATGTGTATTGTACTGTGCCACTTAGTGACTACCTGTTGAATGCGTGGTTAAATTCAAGGTAATTAAAAGATTAGCATTCTGCAATTCTATTCTTTTGATCTTCACTCAGTGAATTTTAGCCAACACGGTTCATCGTTACAGGTGTGAACAACATTTCGTATGAATGATAAAAACATTAATTATTTGGGGAGGAATATGGTGGCAAAATACCTGAATCGCCGTTATATACATGTATATCTTTTATATTTTGCGTAAGCTTAATTTTAAAATAGATAGGTGAGTATTTTGTTGTAACATCGAAATTGTGAATTACTTTCAATTAAATAATTTTATAAATAAAAATGGCCCACGAAAACGAGCGTATAAACCAAACACTGTACTTACTTTTTCAAATTATCATGGGTATTAACCTTGAATATTTCAATGTTTAGAGAAAATTATCGCGGTTACATGATTAATATAGCTTGGTCCGTCCACAGCGATCTACATTTACCTAATCGGGAATGCCCTTAGTTATTAAAATATTTAAAATCTCACAACGTATACATAATTTAGCTATTTTGACCAACGATGTTTAAAAAAAACAACAGAATCAATCTAACGTCAACTTTCCTTTTTTGAATGGAGACAGACCGGCGGAATCAATTTTCAATGTGCTTTATATCTTGTACTTTTGCAAGACTTATCATTCATTCATAAACCCACTATATACCAGAGACATATATATCAGTCTTAACGGACAAGAATACACCTAAAGCAGACAAGCAGTATATTCTTTAAGTTTCAGTGATTTAATACCAAGAAAGAAAAAAGTCCCGAAATTAATTTGATACTTTGATACTCAATATTTTTCCTAGAAAATATTCACATCCTCGTTTGGTCTGAAAATAAGATAAGAATTTGGTATACAGAACATGCAGAAGTGTGAATGTCATAAAACCTTGTTATATCAGAAACCTGTATATGTAAGACCTCATGGGACGTCACCTAACCACATACATGTAATATACAAGTAGCTCTGTTATACCCGGAAATGTCAAGGTAAATCACTACCGATACAGAATGTACCAATGCAAAGAAAATTCTGATGATTGTGAAGCATGACCATTCATGATTTTAGAGTAGTCTTAGGTGGAAATTGCCGGTACGATTTAAATTCTGACTAGATTTTTTTCTCTCAATTTAAATCACTGAACTTAAAAAAAAAGAAACCTACACCCAAGATCAGAATTCTTCATGTAAATTCATAAGTACAACGTTCTTATTTTGCAACTTTCAATATACTTCACCTCCAACCACCGCCCCCTCTGAACCTGGGAACAGTATATCTAACATTACAATGTTTGTGTACCTGCCCAAATCCAAAAAAAAAAGAAGAAAAATGAAAGAGATGAACGGTAAGTCACATCAGATTCAAATATTTATATGGTTGATTGTCGTTAACTAGAGATGTAAAGTTACATGTCTCTGCGTTAACTTATAAGAATGACAGGAAAGTATATACTTGAAATAGATTTATGATGAATCAGTGAATATGCAACTGCAGCACCCCTTTTTATCAAAGTGTACATGCATGTATATATTTTAATGACTGTCCGTTATTTCGATTAAGAATGACAATCGTACGTGAAATTCTATAGTTGCCAGTGAGACTTTTTTTTTACCAGATATGTGACTTTTCGTATTTATATTTTCTCTTATATTACTCTCATTTAATACTTTATGCATAAGTGCAATATTAGGAATGATTTATCCCCCTCCTTTTTAAGCTAACTAAATGAATTAATCAACCCTCTAGCTGACCAGACGTTAATACTTCTACTATCAGTCTATTCGGAGTGAAGTTTCTTTATTTCTTCAAATAAGCTTTTTGGGGATCATTAGTGTACGTCCAGTGGCATATATATTACATGCAAGTCGGAACAGGAAAATTGACATGAGGTACTACCGGTATATAGAACCATGTTCACATTATTACATTATTATACATAATACACAACCATTGAGATGATGACAACTTTCTTAAACTGTTCAAAATAATTTGATTGAAATAAAAATATGTGATTTTACTATGTGCATAACTTCGATGAACCAAAGCAAGTTAGATATCGACCTGTATTTAAATTAGATTGGTTTTGGATGTTTCTCTCGTATATTCAATATACATGTTTATATTCTAAATTGCGACTATCTATAGTTCCGTAACCTTCTATCTAGGCGTATAATCCAATGATCGACAAGTGCGTACATTTTGTTAAATCAATATTTGTACGTTTCAAAATGTCCATAATTATTGACAACGAGTAATTACTTACCCCGGTACATTTTCCCCAATTTACGTTTGGAAAATTTGTAAATATATTTTTATTTTATCAAATCTTTTTTTGGAATTATTTAGATTTTCATAAATATTCTTTACACCATAAATGTTATTTATAAACAAGCGTATGAGTTTAGTCATATATATAATGGCTATTATATCTATGGTTTAGTAAAGACTAGCATATCACTATCGGACATGCAAGACAAAGATGTATATTCACCTGATAGTTTCAAAATGGAAAGTTACAAGTTATCGGCCATGTACACTTCTCAATACCCTCAGAGGTGAAGTGATGCACGAACTTGCTTTATGTAATTGTGTAATAAGAGTTTTAAAGCCCGACAGGAAATCGCTTGAATACCTGGAAGTGTCAACTCACAATACCCATGGGAACAATTCCTTTAGCCATGCTGGTGATCAGATAAGGGAAGGTCCGAGTTTATTTAAATAAGGTTATTACATAAATGAATTATGAACACACAAGATTTTTGAAAACATTTTTACACGGAACACTTAATTTATCACTTTGAACTTTTTAACTAATTTCTATTAAAATTTCTTGTTTCAAAAACTTAGTAAAAAAAAATAGTTTTAAAACGACAGACCATAGTACTAGTTATTCAAAAAAAATTATATATAATTACATTTTCCGTAACAAGTTAGTTAGGAAAGGTTGCATGCACAACCATGTCTATTATAATCTTTTTTTGTGACCCGGGAAATTGTATAGGCTTTCCTTGTCGGGTAAAACAACCGTACGCTTGACAAGATATCGACACTCAATTACGGCTACATTAGGTTACTGCTTGTTTTGGTCCTTTGTGGTTAATAGATATATCATGGTTTCTATTCAGGGATGATGTCAAAATGGCCGCACGCGGAGAAGTGATACTCTATATTTAAAATCTATGGTGATCTCTTATCTAACAGAATTAAACTTTAATATTTATGAATTTGTGGTTTTTTATACATAATCAACATAATATCAATTTTTCATTTTTTTGCGAAGTATCCCTTTAATATTATAGTGTAGACTAGATATGTCATTACCTACCCCTGATGTTACCCAAAATAGAAAGTATGTGATCAGCTGTCCCTAAAATCTATTATCAGATATTAATATCACTACCTGCCCCAAAGGTTGCCTGCCTACATGGAGCTTGACCTTCTGATGCTATACAGACATTGCCCAGATATTAATACCATTACCTGCCCCTAAGGTTGCCTGCCTACATGGAGCTTGACCTTCTGATGCTGTACAGACATTGCCCATATATTAATACCACAACCTGTCCCTGAAATTGCCTGCCTATATGGAACTTGACCTTCTGATGCTGTAGACATTGCCCGATCCATTGCCCAGGTATCAATATCATTACCTGCCCCTAAAGTTGCCTGCCTACATGGAACTTGACCTTCTGATGCTGTACAGACATTTCCCAGATATTAATATCATTACCTGCCCCTAAGGTTGCCTGCCTACATGGAGCTTGACCTTCTGATGCTGTACAGACATTGCCCAGATATTAATACCATTACCTGCCCCTAAGGTTGCCTGCCTACATGGAGCTTGACCTTCTGATGCTGTACAGACATTGCCCAGATATTAATACCATTACCTGCCCCTAAGATTTCCTGCCTACATGTAGAATGACCTTCTGATGCTGTACAGACAATGCCCAGATAATAATATCACTACCTGCTCCTAAGGTTGCCTGCCTACATGGAGCTTGACCTTCTGATGCTGTACAGACATTGCCCATATAATAATACCACAACCTGTCCCTGAAGTTGCCTGCCTATATGGAACTTGACCTTCTGATGCTGTAGACATTGCCCGATCCATTGCCCAGGTATCAATATCATTACCTGCCCCTAAAGTTGCCTGCCTACATGGAACTTGACCTTCTGATGCTGTACAGACATTTCCCAGATATTAATATCATTACCTGCCCCTAAGGTTGCCTGCCTACATGGAGCTTGACCTTCTGATGCTGTACAGACATTGCCCAGATATTAATACCATTACCTGCCCCTAAGGTTGCCTGCCTACATGGAGCTTGACCTTCTGATGCTGTACAGACATTGCCCAGATATTAATACCATTACCTGCCCCTAAGATTTCCTGCCTACATGTAGAATGACCTTCTGATGCTGTACAGACAATGCCCAGATAATAATATCACTACCTGCTCCTAAGGTTGCCTGCCTACATGGAGCTTGACCTTCTGATGCTGTACAGACATTGCCCAGATATTAATATCATTACCTGCCCCTAAGATTGCCTGCCTACATGGAGCTTGACCTTCTGATGCTGTACAGACATTACCCAGATATTAATATCATTACCTGCTCCTAAGGTTGCCTGCCTACATGGAGCTTGACCTTCTGATGCTGTACAGACATTGCCCATATAAACTTCATTAACATCTTCTGGTTTAATTCCTGAAAATATATAATTTCTGAAATAGTTGGCTTGCTTCATTGTATAAGCTTTCAACAACATTTTATTCAGGCAAAATCTGAACCATAAATAATAATAATCATCATTATTAAGTATATTGATTGACAACTTGGTCTCAAACATGTCTAACATCTAGACATTTAATTATATAATTTGCTAAATTTCTAGGACAACAAATTTTTATAAGTAAATAACCAAAACAATTTTGTGCAATCTAAGAGATCTGAAAAATTGAGGTGACAAAAAAAAAGAAAGGTTTATCTCTTTGAAAAATATCTCTCTATCATCATTGTATGCAGGATAACTACCGGTATGGTAATAATAAAATGTTGTTCATCTTCAATCAAATTATGAGTACGTTTTTCACAAAGCCTCTGTTCTCATTCTATATGAAATTTGTCGGAAACCATGGTTAACCATCAATTATTTTAACTATTATCAAAATGTGGAATATATCACAATTGTTACATACCTGCTCTATTTATAGATTCTTTGATAGCAATAGATCCCAGACGAGTCGCAGGTACTTCCGCTAAAGAACTCAGAAAAGATCCAATAGGTGTCCGAACTGCACTGGCTATGACCACTTCCTGAGACAAGAAAACTGTAGTTTCAAAACAAATTACAAACCTATCAACGTACCTCCTGCCCCCTAAACCCCCCTATGATTTTTTTATTTTTAAGTCAATTTCTAAAACTGCTTAGCAGGCACTTCAAACACATTAATTTTTACAAAAAATATCTGAAAACACATTTTTTTTGTTTGGCCTTAGTTTAAAAACTAATGTAGAAATGTAAGATGAAAAGATTTATGTTTTAAAAATAAATAATATTTGTGCTTTTCACACAATAATTGTAGAAAACAGTAACATTAATAGTGCTTGATTACAAATGATAGAGCATGTAGAGTAACATAATAATGACAGTAACCATGTTACCCTAAACATCTGCATACTTTACCTTGTCCTTATTGGAGGGGGTTTCAACGTACACACTTGGGTACAGACATCTTGCTGTATTTAATCCCTCCTATTTATATATTGATTCTTGTGCAAATTCCTACCCATACTATATATTTAGGAAAATCATAACCCATTCATTTGTTTTCCAGCTATCAGCTAGACAAATAATCTGTAAAGTGACATCTTAATTAGATGTTAAACAGAGGGGATCATTTATAATAATTACATAAAGATCAGTACACAATTTATACAATAAAATGAACATTTTTGAAACATTGATATATAAATTTCTACCCATTGGTATAATCTCTGTGAAATTGCACCTCATTGATATATTTGACATTCCAAAAAATGACACACTTACATTTAATTCCTGTTTTGAACTGTAATTCCTTACACATTTAACCACCTTCTGTAAAATAAAAAAAAATATGTAAGTACATTGTAACAAGTTCTAAATAAAGACCTCCTCAATAAAACATACAGATTCACCTGCAGGTTTTTTTTCTTAAACACTACCTCCAAATTTGGATACAGACATCTCTACATTAATGTCCCCAAACTACCCAATCATAACTACAAGATTATATTTAATTTACTAGGTGTTTGCAACATCTCTATAACAACCAACAGTTTTACCTGCAGGCATATTTCACAACCTGTGATTTTGGCTGTCAAATTTTTAACTTCAGTATTTGCCTGTAAGCATGCTTTCATCACTAGTTCTAAGATCTAAAGTAAATAGAGGTTTACAATTTGTTGTTGCTTCATACTTTGTCAGGGTTGCTATATGGATTCATTTGTTTTCTTGGTTTGAACGAAAGTTGTATTTTATGGATACCTAATTTCGTTGCTTTGCCAAATTTTGCATATAAGTCTATAAGAAATGTATATATAGTTGAACATTTAACTTAACCGTCTATCTTTACCAACAAAATCCACACAAATTGGTACCCAACGAATGCCATTGGCAATCACTCCACATCTCCTACATTTTATAATAATGAATCCACAGTATTTCAAAGAATTCATTATCATGATTATTGGAGGCCATAGTGAGTTCAATTGTCTATTGAACATAACATCACCATTGGGCTGAACAAGATAATAAGCACATTTATCATGTTTACAATTAATCTTTGTAATGTTAAATTTACAGCAAAATAACATACAGCATTTGTACAGTTGGAAAAATAGATTTCTGTTTATATATTTAGCAAAGAATCATCTAACAGAGTCTCAAGTAAAAGATCGGTTCGATAATGCCTTAAAATGGTCCCTATTATTACTAGCTAAAATTTCAAATTAGGATTTATTGACCAATATTACAATGAATCATAGCATAAACATTGACTAGATAGGAAATAGGTATTTTTGCTGAAGTTTAGCGTATAAAGGTTCTTTTAATGACTTCACAAATAGCACATATTTAGATTTTAGCAAAAAATTCAATGAAAACAGGTACTATCTATTTATTTTTTGAGACTAGAAACATACAGCACATGCATCCACAAAAATATATCTTTTAACATAATGTTTGATATAACATGTTACATATATCATGTATATATCTGACTTGAATATTAAGTTTGTCAAAGCCTGCCTTCTATGTTACCTAGGCCTAAATTTGGTTGAAATCAAAGCCATTTTGTCAAGTTTAACCAAAATCTCTACTTTTGGCCTACATGGCCTATTTTGGTTGTAAATGATAAGGATTAATTCAAAAAAATTGTACATAATCGGGGCCTAATGTTGCCGTCACCAAACTTTCTCCTTAATCTGAACAATTAAATGGTATCATATTTTCCACATATTGATTATGCCTAATATCACATAATTATCAGAAGTCCATTACTAGACGAAGTGTGCAACCTGGTTTATAGTAAGGCGATCACTTTGTCCCCGTACTTCCAACTGTGATTGAAACGGGATTTGAGCGAGATTGCTATTAATAGTAACTAAAATCATGGCCAAAATTTTTGAGATGCATTCTGGGTAGAGATAATTTTTGAGAAACACCCTATAACTTAATTAGCACACAGTTGAAAATAATGTTTGATCATCGATGTGTTAATGAATAGCAGATGCCATATTATATCAGTGTCATGAATCATGAGTCATTATGATGTTTTCATTACTAAGTAATAAAAAAAAATTGTATTATTTATCAAATTTAAAAACTACAATTATAACCGTAGAAAAATTATCAGACTGAATAAAAAAAAGCTCACTTCTTAATTCACTGGTGCCAACGTGATGATCGTAACTGCAATTATGATCATCCCAATATGGCGGACATGAATTCGGGTTAATTTTACAAGGCCGATTTTTCACTTCAAGAGCTTATTTTCAGATTTGTATTATGTCAAGAAACATCTTTAAAAGCATGTCCATTGACTGTTGTTTTCCTAAACGAAAATCGAGATGCAAAAAAACACGATGATGATCGTATCTATTATTTATTTTTTTCAATGATGATTGTAACGTTTACTGAAGATGATCGTAGCTTTCTGTTCCAACTAAGCTTTTAAGCTTTTTCTGATGAATAAAGCTGTGTGGTATGCGGAAAAGGGTGCATTCATTGTGAAAATAATGAGGAACGATCAATGAAGGGGAGGGTAATTGATTGGTGTACGGGTAAGTGCACAAATATGGATTATGATTTTACGATATTTTGTAATTTTTTAATCTACTGAATTCTATATTAAAATGCATTGGGGTTAGTAGTCCAAATAATTATGACGTCTTGAAAGGCTATTATATTTTTTTTCTTTGACGCCTTACATCGACAGGAAAGCATCAAAGCAAAAATTTAAAATAGCCTTCCAAGACGTCATAATTATTTGGACTATGGGGTTAGCTACTTTATATTGATTTCATATATCTTAAGGTATTATACATTTCGTATTAATGGCCAGTTTGGTATTTGAGATTTTTTCTGTGGAACAAACTGTAAATGTCATTTTTTGGGGTGTGTGTATTAAATCACAATATTCTATATAAGTATAAAAGGTCATTTTTAAAGTATTGAAACCAAATTTCAGTGAATACTACTAGTATATAAAAATTGGTACATTTTTAAGGCAGAAGTGGCACATCCCTCAAAAAAAAAAAACGAAGCACCAACAGATATAATGAGATATTAATTAATATAATTTGGTTCAAACAACTTCTTCGACTAACTTCAATAAAACGTGCAACATAACCGTACGTATAAGGATTTATCGTGTGTGTAATATGTTTACTATGTGAATTTGACACTTTTTTTCGACCAAGTACACAACGCTTCTTTTTGGAATAAAATATAGAAAAATAACATATGTATGAAAGGTTTCAATGCCAATTATTGAAACAGCTATTCTTATTACACACACACACAGTGGCCTTCTAAGTAATCCCTGGAATTATCCAGTTCCAACAGTAAAGCCTTTTCTTACAAGTGTGGGGTTGTATTAATTAGTAGCAGCCATGTCAGGTCGGAGGAGGGACTTTAAACCTAGAACATCGCTTATTCAGGATTAATGTTAAGCTTTGTGCATGTTAAACAACACTTGCGACAACTCTTTCATGGAAAATGTGTGATATATTTGCCACTGAACGATAAGATAGCAACAAACGATCAATCAAAACTTAAATCTGCATGATATACAGGTGTCTTCAGTCTTGTGAATATAAAACGACAAAAAAGGACCATGACACGTTGCAAAACTGACTCACGTACGTATATAAATCTTATAATGGCAAACATAATGACGGATATGTATGTCTCTTGCTTTAAAATAGCTAAAAAAAGCAAGAGTCTTTTGAAATTCGGAATTGTTTTGAAGTCATCTGAAGCAACAAATGGTTGCTTATTTTAGACAAATGTATTTAGGTAGAAGCGAAGAAAATCCTGTCTTTTGCTAATTCATCACTGTATATAGTTTCCCTGGTGCCGTAAATAATCGAGATGTAATTCATCAACACAACGTTTTATTTAAATGAAAATAGGCAATTTTGACAAAAACAGCTATGTCTTTTAAAAAGACCATACATGATTAGTCCTACACTACAGATTTAATTTATATGACTTTATAGTTTTGCCGTTGCGCGCTGAAGTTGGTAATAATGAATTCTTTTATAAAATTTTATATCATTTTCTAAATGTTGAACATGTTGAAAATGAAGTTAAATAACTGATGATAAGAATCCACCACACGAAGTCAGCTCACTTCATTTTCAACAAACTGATAATTAATCAAACACTCATGGAGACTAATTAACAGCTATCTGTTTGATAATATTTCTACCCATGATTCCATAGTTCTAAAACGAGAGTTGGGAGGACCACATATGACGCTTTCTACTGATTATGGGGACATTGTGATCATGGTGATCGCCTTACTATATAGCACAGCTTGCACACTTTCGTCTAGTAATGGACTTCTGCTAATATATACATTTATATATAAAAATATGGAGAGGTGAGATTAAAAAGTCTAGAGACCTGAAGTGATGTAGAGTTTAGATCGATGTTTATTGAGCATTCATCATTGTTCATTATGTGAAAGTGGAAGTAAATTATTTTTGGCAGTTTGTTTATTATTGAAAATGAATAGTGGTTATCAGTGGTTTCAGAAAGGTGCAATATAAAAATAATTTGCTAAATAAATATATTTAATAATCATGATAATGGTCACAAAATTTTAAAAAAAAATTGCCCATTGATTTATAATTATCATTTTTGTTTTTAATAGGTCATTTTCCTTTAAATGACTTTCAGGACAATTTAAATATCCTTAGAATGTACGTTTCCTTAAGATGTGAAAGTTTTTATTTCATGTAATGTCTTTGGATGTGGACACACTTATACCCTATTCACACTATCACTGACTATGCCTTTTTAACCGGTTTCATCCTGAATTAGTTAATCCAGGTTAAATTTAGGAAGTGTGAACGCCTTAACCCGGGCGAACCCGGATTAAAATTACCCCTCATTTTAGATGGAGTTAATGTGGGGCGAACCCTGGTTAATTACCTTGTCTTCACATATCGAATGACGTCATATTTTGACATGTGATATCACAGACATCCAGCTACTGTATTTTCTAGCACCAAAATATAATCATATTAAATCAGCGGCAGCAAGAGGATTTAGTATATTTTGCTATGTTGAAAGATCTGCATAATGACAAATAATGAGAATACAAATTGTTCATGCAGTCGTATATCCCTATAAGATTTCTGACGCTTTTTGAAGGGTAAAATTTTGATAGAGTGATGTTATTTGAAAACACAGAAAATGGTACCGGTTGATGTGGAATTCCTCCGAAGCTTCAAGTGGTTGAAAAGGAGTGTGGTAAGAATTTCAGAGTTTGAAATAATGCAACTGTAATGAAAAAGAATGTTAATATGTACATGTACAGTGGACAGATGCGTGGTTACAATTTTGGCACTTACATAAACATTCGATTTTTGTTAAGAGGGAAAATTACAAAATGGGTTAATTTTTAATTTAGTGTGAACTGTGGTAAATAATTCGGACTAATTATCCTGGGTTCGACCTGGTGCAGATTTCATAGTGTGAACACAGTATTAGACTCTCTCTCTATTCAGACTTTCACTATACATGTAGCATTGTAAAACTTGTGAAAAAACTGCACGATACATATACCATGACCGTTTCACCATGTACATCTACCCTAATTATTTCATTGATACATTAACAAATGCTGATGCCAGGAATTACCTGTATAGTAATACAAAAAGTTTGGCAAATAAAAAAAAAATATATGCTAGTTTCCTGCCCTCATGCATAAAAAAAGGGCTTTCATTAACTTTAGGGAAGCACATGCTTTTGGTTAGTGTTCTGTTTATAATTATTCTATTAATTTATTCATAGTTGAGGGTTGTAATGGGTGTACCTTCATGACGAATTACGATAATAAATCTTGCCAAATGACGTTAATGGTAGTTTTTGGTGCAGGACTATAAAATTTACACTTTTTTAAGACAATAAAATAATCAACTGAATTTGACGAAACATGTTAATTTTTTTCCAAAAATAACGGTAACGATAATTATTTGAGACCTCTTACGAATCACAAATAAGGATGACGAATCATGGTAATATAATTTTATTCAATTTGATGCTTATAAACGATAGCTGAAAATGATCGTTTGATGATTGACGGTAAATGGCATTACTACCTACATAATTATTAGCCAAGTTCATCTGTGTTATTAGATATTATTTCACCGATTTTTCACGTAAATTCATAAATCCAAGGATTTGTGTAGTAATTACTATACAAATCCTTGATAAATCATATAACATCTTCTGCAGGTACTAAAAAAAAATGCTCATTAAAATCCCAATTTTTTTTTTATCTTACTGATATACAAAATACATTTAACTTATAAGATATTTTATATTTAGTGGATGCCAGGCCTAAAAACTAAGTCTGTACACAGAGACAGAGCAGTTTTTGAGGTGAAAATACGGCCATATTTGTCCATTTGTTATGATGAACCTTAAATAATGTCTGGGAACAGTATATCCAACCCAAATATTTATGTTCCTGGCTATATATATGATAATGATCATATAAGTGCTGCATGTTTGCAGGTTAATCTCACCACAGAATAGCTGCCAAAGATTTTTGAGGTCATATTTTCTGGAGCATCACCAAGACAGGGGAGAGAAACGAGTACATTTATGCAAGTTGCAACGGTGGTCGGTAAAAGTGGTAACCCGAACCCGAACCCGAACCGGAATTTGCCGGAAATTTGCCGAACCGGAAATCTTTAAATATGATTTGTTATCATTGTTTAGAGATTTTTGTTACAAAAATTAATGGATATGGTGTAAAATATAAAGTTTTATGTTATGTATGAGTACGCTTTTGTTCTTAACTGGCAAAAGACTGAAAAAAAAGTTTTCTATGTTTCCGCCTTGGTAAAAGTGGTAACCCAAACTCGGGAACCTATTTTTCTTTATTTCTCTGTATTATCTGATTTCTTGAGTGAACACTCTGACTTCGTGTGATGAATATCATCTTTCATTTCATAAACACAAAGATTTTTTTCAAACTGTATAAAACACAACCATTTATTTCATTTCTAAGTGAATAAGTAGGAAACCGAACCCGAAAGGGAGACAACTCGTTTTGAAATAGTTGCACAGGTAAATGAACGCAATAAAACCGTACCGGATTCCGAATGGACTTTGGTATGAACCCGGGCTCTGGAAAGATTTTTTAACCACGTCAATGCTTTTAAGATTATTGTCAGGAAAAAACAGTAAAAATAACAAGAGGACAAATGAATAAAAAAATAATAATAAATAAATAAATAAATAAATAAATAAATAAATAAATAAATAAATAAATAAATAAATAAATAAATAAATAAATAAATTGATTAATAAATGGAATTACTGGAAATAACAATATAATAAAAAAATTGTTTAAAGAATTTCATAGAAAGCCAACATAGTTCCATAACACATCACCGTATCGTTTTTTTTTTTCTCTATTTACAGTCCAATCATTACTGGTAAGTTATTGTGGAATGGAAAATAAAAGTAAATTGTCGTCGTGCAATTGATTCTGAATGATAAATGTCAAATATAATGAAGATGGTATATTGCGGAATATAAATGAACATAACTTATGACATTTTATCAACATAATATCGAAACTGTCCTAAGATAGGTCCTAAGGATTTCTTAGGACAGAGATTTGGATAAAGTTAGGACTGACTGACAGAAAGGGTTAGCATGCACATCGAAGCTATCTTATGATTATATAAGCTGGGATGTCCTAACCGCTGTATTAAGTATTGGCGTATAATGAATGGCCTTATAGTAAATGGTAAATTTAAATGAACGAAAATGAAAATATTGTATCAAACCAAGCCATACATTTGTAATTCTAAATAAGAAAAAACTATTAGTTTTAAATTAAAGGTGATATATAATTGGTATATAATAATTGTACATTATAATTGTATGAAACAAAAAATAATACAAAAATTATAACTTCGTTTTATATAAGCTTATCGAAAATAGTTATAGCTAAATGTGTAATCATTAAAAACAAGTGAGGTTGAATTCGAAGTGTCACGGTTTCATACTTCAAAGTAAAAAGACAAATTTCGTGCATATTTCATAGAAATACGGAGTACTTCAACTATTGTGCGTTTGTTGATTTTAATATAAAGCTGTTGACTTTGTACTTAGAAACTCTTTATATTTCAAACTTCTACAAAACCCATGAACCGGATTTTTTTTTTTAGAGTTGTAAAGATATGTATCAGATACGAAATCTTGCATAGTTTATAATAATGAAAAGTCTGCCTTACTTTTTGTATTTGATATAGGAGCAAGTCAAGGGGGAATCTCTAATCTATCTCGTTTTCTTTATTCTTGATTGACTTGCAAGACTTTCTAGAAACTACAAAATCTAAAGGGCTAGAAACTGTATTAAAGAGATACAGAAAATGAATAATGGTTTATTTTGCTGTTTGCTGATGATACAATGTTTATGTCAGAAACTTGCAGGATTTACAGATGATGCTAAACTTTTTTTTTTAAATTAAACAATGGAAACTGGAAATAAATGGAAAAAAACGATATCTTGTTTTCATAGGTCGATTGTCAATGAATTTGAAATTTGATATTGATAATCATAAAAATTGTGGCAGTAAATGAATATAAAGGGCTCAATTGTTGAAGGCCGTACGGTGACCTTTAGTTGTTTAAGGCCTTGCGGGTGCCCATAATTTCTTTCATTCTCTTTATAAGAACTTTATAGTCTTCTATTTGGCAATTAATCCTACCACATCTTCTTATATATGATGTAGTTTGTTTTTTTAATTCGCAACGCTTGTTTGTAATTATCAGCGTGTGATTTATGCTTCATGCCAAGGAATTGCCTCTGTTGAAATTCTGCAAACACCCCATAGAGCAAATTACATGGATGATTAATATTGACCATTTGGTATATGGCCGTGTTCTAAGCGACACGTACATATGAAGGTCATAAATTAATTTGTTGAATGAAATCAAATCTTTTTTTATCTACTAATGAGTGCCGTAGGAGGTCGACCGGAATTTTTAGCGAGGATTTCATGGCATGTAACAGATAGAAAACTCAGGGTTAGAATTCATAGAACAGAAAAGGGGCAGTGGCAAATATTTCATGTATATTATGAACACAGAGAAGATTACCCCGGCACCCTTTGCCAAAAAAAACCCCTTCTTTTTCTTATTTGTGCCTTCGGACTTTATGTTTTGAATTGTAGTTTCACTTTCCATATTCGGTATTTATTAAAATGTAAGCTCCACGCGGTAAAAATCACGTGATGCAGGAATATAGTATCTTGGAGTTCAGCTATTTCTTTCTTTTCGGGCGGGGACTCCAAGCAAACAACATGCATGTGTTTAACGGCACTGCAGATTTTCGTATTAAATAAAGAAATTTGCCGGTCCGGTACATGAATAGATTGGTTAGAAAGCAAGGTTTTAATTTTAATTAGATTGGAAAGATTAATTCGAGGGTTGAAAATAGAGAGCACAAAAAAAAAGGGGGGGAGGTGTTCCACAGGGAATATTTATATCTTATGAACTCTACATTTGAAAGGTTTGTTATTTTTTTTTTAAATTAAAAAAGAGAAAAACAAATGTAAGACAAATTGTGAATGGTCTTTCTTCCTTTTCCCATGACAAGAAATTGCCTCCGTTGAAATTCTGCAAACACCCCATAGAGCAAATTACATGGATGATTAATATTGACCATTTGGTATATGGCCGTGTTCTAAGCGACACGTACATGAAGGTCATAAATTAATTTGTTGAATGAAATCAAATCTTTTTTTAGCTACTAATGAGTGCTGTAGGAGGTCGACCGGATTTTTTAGCGAGGATTTCTTGGCATGTTGTAATCTCATTGTGTTTTTCCAAGTGTAAATTTTGTAAAAGATGATCTGACATATACATTTCCATGTGCCCGTGTATTAGAGGGTCACAGCTCCATTTATGTTCCACAATATACCCTTTTGTGCACATCTTTACTTTGCATTTTTAACTCGCAGAATGTGAGACATAGGTACAACAATCCTGCGGCGTTTATATAAAATGAAGATGTGATATGGTTGCCAATGAGACAACTCTCACAAGAAACCAAATGTCACATAAATTAAAAACATGACGGCCTTCAATAAGCTCATATTGATACCCAGCTATACAAGACCCCGAAATGACAAATGTAAAACAATTCAAACGAGAAAAAAAAAACCTGACGAAAAACAAATATGTATCACAGCAACAAACGACAACCACCGAATTACAGGCTTCTGGTTTGGGACAAGCAAATACAGAATGTAGCGGGGTTAAATTCGTTTTTTTGGCGCCAAACCTTCCTAACATGGGACAGTGGTATGACGGTACAATGAATCAGATGGATACAAATAGAAATACATCGAATAAAAACAGAGTATACGTGGACGGGTATTTGTACATCACAACATATTTGTACAGATCTGATAGTACTCGCAGTTACTGACAGCTAGTTCAAAGCCTATAAAAACTATAAAAATAAACATGCATCTAAGAATAACTTTGTTTAAAACTTTTTAATTTAATTTTGGATGTAACGCGTCTTCTGATTGGCTGACGTTGTTTTGTTTATCAGCTCATAGACATAATTTTGTCATGACGTCATCAACGTTTTTTCATGGTTTACTCCGGTTTAAAATGGAATTTAGAATTAAATTATAAGAAATGACTAATATTTTTTCTGTCTATTCGAAATAACATAAAAAATGTGGTGCACACTTTAAAATAACCCGCTACGCGGGTTATTCAGTGTGCACCACATTTTTGATGTTATTTCTTCATAGACAGACAAAAATATTACAGTCATTCCTTAAATAATTCTGAAGCTAGCAGACCTGGATGCAGATACCTTGTTTAAGAAGTTTTCATCTGTCATATTATCCTTCACCTCATTTTCATGGTTCAGTGAGTGTTGATAAAAAATACTGTTTCGGAGTGAAATACTCTCTTGTTTTGAGCAATAGGACAACTATATTTGGTAAAACCATGTGTACATGTCTGTCTGGAAGGTTTTATATGACCTTGGCCCTTTTTTTTTAGGGTGGAACTGTTCTATGATAGTCTATATTTGGTATAAGGAATGATTTTAAGGTTTTCATGTCCGGCCAACAGAGTTCAAGTTACCTTGACCTAATTTGTATTGTTCATTGGAAAATGTCAAGTTGATGTGAATTGATACATATCAGCGTGTGCATCTTGTTATTTTTTGAAGGAAAATAAATACTTTTCAACTATCGGGCATAGAAAAGTTCAGTCTTGCTACCCCAAAACAGCCCCAAAAAACATTAATTTTGAAAAATTTACTAAAGATTTTATTTTATGTTCTTATATTTTCTTATTAGTATTATATTCACTTTGTGTTATAGATCAAATTTATTTGTTCAATAGATATAAGAAGATGTGGTATGAGTGCCAATGAGACAACTCTCCGTCCAAGTCAAAATTTATAAAAGTAAACCATTATAGGTCACAGTATGTATGTTTTGTTTTTGTTAATATGTTTATTTGCTTGAGTGAATCCATTTCAATTGATATAATATAGTGTGTAATTCTATGTTGTGATGTAACACAAATACTACAGGTTAGGGTTGAAGGTTTGTG